GTCCTTCAATAGTGCCAGAAAATGAGCTACTACATGGGCAGGAGTATACTAACTAGATGAGGGGAAGATGCTTGGGGTGTGTGTGAAATTGTCCAAGCAGGCCAGGGTACAGGCCAAGGGGCAACAAGGAAGCAGGGTTCCTCCAAGGTCATGGTCCCAACCTAGGCTGCCCATTAGAACCTCCCAAGAAGCACTGCTCTAAGGCAAGCCGTGGGATCTCCACTGAGAGCCTCTGGGTCATTCTGTCATTTGGGCGGGACCAGCCAACCTGATATTTGTAAAGGATCTTGGAAGTCAAAGGAGCAAAGTGGGAACCACTCAGGAGACAAGAGGGTGTGCAAGCAGTTCATGAGGAGGGCTGGGAATGGGCTGAGGTAAACCTCCACTGGAATTAGTGACAGCAAGGAGGCTAGCAATGAGAGGCCTGCCTGCAGCCAGGGTGGTTGAAGCTGAGGCGCGGTGGGCACTGTGAGCCAGGGAGCAGAGTACAGGGGACAAGGCTGGACCCCCGAGACCCTCCAGGAGCCCCGTGCTAGGCGGTGCCAGGCGAGCTGGCCACAGACAGTTCAGCAGGAACCATCTTGAGCGGGTCCTGGGAAGAGCACAATGAAGCCACAGCTGAAGACAGGCCTCTGGCTCGTGGGGCATCAATGTTAACATTCTTGTCAGGGACAGCAGGAAAATCAACTGGAGGGGTACATCTGATTGTCTACCTGCCATCTTACGCTTATGGGGAAGAGACTTCCTTGATGCCCGTTTCTCTGTCCATTCATGGTCCTGAGTGCACGGCAGGTAGTGGGTGCTCTGAATACTCCTACCTCAACCCCCGCAGACAGGGTCAAGGTGGAGGACAAGTCTCAAGGTTTGGAATCCCATTGTCTGTGTTCACGATGAGGAAGAGGTAAGGCAAGATGGAACATGGGAATTTTTGCTCTCAGCTTGGGAATTTTGCTTTCCACATAGTTCATGGAGAGAGTCTGACAGGGCCTCCTGGACAAATGCGAAGAGAATAATTTGGGCAGAGATGGGCATGGTGGCATGTGCCTGTAATCCCAGCTATTCGGGAGGCCAAGATAGGAGGATCACTTGAGCCCAGGAGTTTGAATCCACCCAGCCTGGGCAATATAGCAAGACTCTATCTCTAAAAAATTAATTAACTTAAAAAAGGATAACATCAATTCAGTCAGAGGGACTTTACAGAGGTAATTACGGTCTGGTCATGGAAACAGGGAACAGAGATGCCTGGAACCTACATGTCATGATCTCGGGTAAGGCCAGTACTCTCAGGCACTCTTGGAGTTGGGAAGATGGCGTGGGATTAGGGGAAAGGAAGATGGCGTGGGATTAGTGCTAACAAACCACTGTGCCTTCCTTACCCTTCCAGGGACCTCAAGGGAAGCTGCTCTGCTCGCTGGCTTTTATTTTTCTTAGAGATGAGGTCTTGCTGGTCTTGAACTCTTGTGCTCCAGCAATCCTCCCTCCTCAGCCTCCCAAAGTGTCAGGATTACAGGCCTGAGTCACTGCACCTAGTCCATGCTGACCCGTTATTCTCTGTGGCCTGCTGGATGGGGCCTCTTATCTATTGGGATCCCCTGTAGCAGCAGGAGTTATTTTGTAGCCAAAGGGCCACCTCAACTGATCTGGAGACGACTTTCCCAGCAATCCAAATAATGATTTATATAAGATTACACTGACTGGGTAAACTGTAATCTACCCTCTTTGGAAGGTTTAAGAGCTCTGGAATTCAAGGTCAAGCCCCATGTCTGCCCTCACATGGTGACTTTCTTACTTAAGCTTTCTCTACCTGTTGTGATATTTAAGTGGATATACATGTAAAGCAATTATAGTGTCCAGCACAGAGGGTGAATTCTCAATAAATGGTACAATGTATTACTTATGATACTTAGTCTCACCCATAGGCAACATCTGCAGCACGAAGCCCATCAGCTCCTGTCTCTGTTTCCAGAGTCCAGGTGAGTGAAGGGCACTTGCCCAGTGGACCTGGCCTATGCTGACTACACTTGAACCACAAATCCTCCAGGAGGCCTTCCTACCTCCATTTGCATCTCACTTGCTGCTTTCCCGTGCTTCTCCCTTTGGACTATGAGCTCCTTGAGGGTATAGCCCACAGCCTCCTGTTCTTCTCTCTGGTACCCTGTCCATCACACCACCCAGCCCACTAGGCAGGAGGCAAGTGTTTGTTGGATGGACATTCTGAGCACTGCTGAGGCCTCCGGTGGACCCTGTTCTCTTGCAGCTGACATATCAGTGAGCTGTACTTCTGTAGATTGTTGGAATGGACATGAGTAATTTGTCTGGACAGTTGAGTCAAAATGATCTTGGAGAGTAGTTCAGTGTTAGGGGTCCCATGGAAATAGGCCTGGGGACAGGATTTGGCTGAGGCTTTCAACAGACACCAAAAAGACTCCAGTCAAGGGAAAGCAGACCCAAGGCCCATGGGCAGACAGGAAGAGATGAGCAATATGAAAACGTGGATGATCTAAGTGGTCAGGGAACAGAGCTAAAAACAAATGGGAGAAGTGGTGCTGGATTAGTTCCATTGCCCTATGGCAAACCATGTAAATAGATGCATATTCTGGATGTGGATTTGCATCTTACCCATCATGCTTTTCGCAGCCCGACCACCAATGGACCAATGGAATGCCTTACCCACCAGTATGGTATTCTCCATATTGTTTCTTTTATTTGGTACCATGACTCGGATTCCATATTGCTTTTAATCAAGCAGGTAATTTCACAACAAAGGAAGTGAGGCAATGGACACAACTGGATTAACAGATGGGTGAAATGGCCTAGCAAAGACTCAGTTATAGCACCATTTGGCAGACAATATCCTGGAAGGTAGGATGCTGTCTCAAAGGTTAAACTTTGTGTGAGTTGTCTCTCCCTTAACCAAAGTTCATGGGTCCAGGAACGAAGGGACAGAAGTAGGAGTGGTTCCCCTCACCTGTCTCCTCAGGTGGAGTTCCGCTGGTTTTGGAGGGCTTGGTATTCAAAGGAGGAATGTTTCCAGGGGACACACACAATGGAACCTACTGAATAGTACATTAAGGCTCGTCTGGCTATTTTGGGCTCCTTCAAGCAGTGAACCAACAAGCAAGTAGGGGATTATTCTACTGACTGGGAAGTATTACCAAGGGGAAAGGAGTTGCTGCTATACACTAGGGGCAGGGAGAACAGTCTAGAACACAGAACTTTCTGGGGTCCCTCTTAGACATGGCAAAAATTAATGGAAAACTATAACAAATAAAGAAAGGACAATTAACTCAGACCTTTTAGGAATAAATGTTTGGATCAATCATACCAAAAAAAAAAAAAAAGAATCCTGACCAGTTGAGATCCTGGCTGAGGGCAAAGGAAATACATACTAGGTAGTGGAAAAGGAAGTTATAAATATCAACAGCCTTGGGACAGTTATAGCCTATGTACACACTCTTGCTTGATCATTGTATGTGGGCACACCCAATTTTCATTTCTTTCCTCTTATTTCATGCAATTTTTGTTGGAAGTTAACTCTACCATTTAGTCTTCAGTTATCATCTTGTTCTATATTCTATTCAGAATGTGACCAAGTCAGCATAACCCAGAGATTGATACAATGATTGCTGTGCTTCACACCTCCTTCTTTTAAGGAGAGGATGAGCTCTTCTTGCGGTTAGTTACATCTTGCTGGGCAGAGTTGCTTTTGTGGCAGGATGGAAGTTCAAAGTAGGTTGTGCAAAGACGCAGAGGGGCTATCAGGGAAGACTGTATCAGTTGGGAAGTTCTTGTCTCTCAGCTCCACACCCACTCCTTTTAGTTCTGCTTTTGTGATACCAGGGATAGAACTCCGCGAACATATCTGCTCTGCCAGCTGGCATCCTGTTGGATTTTTCCAGTAGGGTGAACTTGAGAGACACGTCCAAGCTGGAGGAAGGCAGTTGCACACTCCTTCCTGTTACCGTCAGCACCTCTGCTGCTGTTTGCTCCCACAGCCGCAGGTGATGGCAACTGCCATTTCCAACCCACTCAGACCAGCTTCATCATGGCCTCAGACACCTGTGCCACATAAGCAACACCCATTCTCAGAGCACTTCCCAAAGTTGCTACCTCCTTGATTCTTGAGTTTTTTTGCTTTTAAATTACCGCAACGTTTTTTTTTTTTCAGTTGGGGTCTTACTCTGTTGCCCAGGTTGGACTTCAGTGGCATGTACATAGCTCACTGCATCCTCAACATCCTGAACTTAGGTAATCCTTCTGCCTCAACCTCCCAAGTAGCTGTGACTACAGGTGCACACCCCCATGCCCAGCTAATTTTTTGATTTTTTTTTTTGTAGATATGAGGTCTCACTAAGTTGCCTAGGCTGGTTCTGAACTCTTGGGTTTAAGCAATCCTCTCGACTCCACCTCCCAAAGTGCTGGGATTACAGGCGTGAGCCACTGCACTTGGCCAAACAATTCTTTATATCATATTGTTGAAATAACTTGGATGGTTTCTGTCTCCTATTTGGACTATGACTAAAGTTATTGAAACTGAGTCTTGAGACTGTAGCATTTTAAATCCTTTGTCAACAATAACTGAGACTTGGGAAAAGCTTCCTTTTCCCTTGGTGCTGCCCATGGGCACTGGTCATTAGTATGTTCTGTATGTCTATCTTTAGGGTAAGCTACTTAATCTAAATAAAACATTCCAAGCTCAGGCCTGGGGTGATTTCTTCAAAATCGAATTCTTTGAACTTCCTTCGATTCCAGTATTCCTTACCCCAAGTTAAGGAGCATGAACAACTATATTTTGTCATTAAAAATGTAAACTGAGTTGTGGCAATGATTAATAACAATTAGAGAATACTTTCACAATAAATTTATGTCAAAGACATTGGCATTATCTGAACTATCCCATATTTTGTTCTGGAATGCAGTTAAAATGGAGACTCATACAACAAAGGGTAGAATTAGCAACAGTATCCCATTTCCCTTGCATTGACAAGTCCACAACCTAGTTCTTGCTGATATTTTCCATTTATTACTGCAGTAGACAATTGCTCTGAAAGTGCAACACTAAACCATTTTTGTCACAGCCTCTGTTCCTCCTCCACTGGCAAATACTTGGAAATTCATTCTTGGAGCATTGTAGACCACACGCTTCTCTCTGGGTGGAAAATTATTGCCACTGCCAGTGTCACAGGGAAAACACACACACACACACACACACACACATACACACACACAGATACAAAAAAAACCCAAAAACCCAAAAACAGAGAGGAGTAGGGGCCAATTTCAAACAGAAAACCCAGCAAAGGGGTCAGAGGACAACAGTCTTTACTGTGCAAAGTGAAGACTGACTGCATTCTCCAGCAGTAACCTAACATGCTGCTTCCGTCGGTCATGGAGACTTTTTCCTTTTATCTCTAGAACAAGTGATATGATAATTATAACTGTGTCACATCTCAGCATATCAGATGCCCACGGAGTCAAAATAAATGAAAAGACCTCAGGCTAGTTTGGAAAAGTGGGTGGTTTGAATAAACTGACTATTCAATCTCCCACTTAAACTTAACGCTTTTAGACAGAATATCTGGGAGAACACTGCAGGTAAAATGCTGCCTAAAGGGATAATCTTTTGTTCTAACCAGTCCAGGGTCAGCACATTTTTTATGGAAAAAGATAACTGTCAAATACTGCAAAGACAAAGAGGAAAGGGAAACATGAGCAGCTCTAGAACACGTTAGATTCAAAAACCTGAACCAAAAAAACCAAAACAAACTATGGACAACACACTTAAACATGAGGCCTGACCAAACACAGTATACATATGCACTGCCCCCCACCCCACAACAGTCTCAGGTAGATGCCCAAAGGAGGGCAAATCCAAATGCCTGCTCTCTTTGGAATTTTCATGTCAAATTTGAGGCTAGGCAAAAGACCTCCCTGAGGTCCAAACAAATTTCAGGAGGCAGCCTTTGCTTCCCCCTGTAGTCAGTGTTACTCCTGTATTTGCCTGAGCCCTTCACAATTGTCCGGACACCAGAATGCATTCTTCATATTCCTGGAGTTTAAAATCACTGCTAGATCTTCTTATCTGATCTAACTTTACATGTAAAGGAAGCACCTCCCTTTTCTCTGTACTCCCCTGTACTATCAGGAAAAAAGCATCCCCAAACAGTGGTAATTAGAGGGTATTAAGGAGTTGAAAAGTAGGAAGAGAGTAATATAAATACAATACGGAAATGCCTGTTACTCTCATGATTTCTCTGAGACCAGGTGGCCAAGGATCCCCTAGCCTTCAAGGATATGTTTTAAAGAGAGGCCTTAATTTAAGGTACTGCAATCTTTGCTCACAAGAGCCAAGTAAGACAATGCTACTTGGAGGTTGCTGTAGGACTCTTACTCATTACTTATCTGAATTGTAGGTGCTCCTTTGACTTCTGACTTCAGTCCTTCTGGAGTCAGATCACTCAGCTTCTCTGCTGAGTGACTGGTCATTTTAAAGCATGCCTGCAGTAGCTTCGAGAGGTTTACTTTCTGGGTATCATGGATCAACACTCATTTGCTAATATATGTATGATGTGACAAGGAATGAAAATAGGGTTTTCCAACCATTCCAGACAGGCACAGTCATGCAAATAAAGCCATCAGCAAGGTCACCTTTTCTTTTGATGTCCCCATTTCAGGATCATAGAATTTGCATTTTGTGGTAATAGGCCTGGCAAGCACCAGCACTTCCCTTCCTCAATGTGGGGCATGCAAGTAGGCCCTGCTCATACGGGAAAATGATTTCACTTAATGCCCTCAGCTCCAAATCCTGCACTTGGAACCTACATTATAATCTAGCTCCCAATCAAAGTGGATTCTGCTCCAGTTTAATTTACCAAGGCATCCCTCTAAGCCACCTCAGTGAAAGCAGTATGACTCATTCGAGTACAATTCTAAGTGCAGCAGTGCCTAAGAAGGAGAGAGAGTCCCACAGGAGAGAAGACTGGAGGGCCTAAGGCAGGAGATGATACAAATTCTGGACAGTCATCATACCAGTAATACAGCCTCAGTAAGTGGTGGGCTTGGGGGAAGAGGGGAGAAAAAGAAACAAAATGTCCCAATAATTTAATGGCAGAGCTACAAGAGAGCATTTACAGCTATTCTGGGACTCTCCAACAGAAAGCTTTTCCTGGATGCACAGACATAATACTGATAACTCTCATCGACAGCTCTGACATGTACATGTGGTCACAATGCCCTCGTACAGCATGAGAAGAGCACACAGGATGCCCAGGGGGCATCTGGACAGCACACATCGAAACGAAAGGCTGAACTCCCCCCCAACGGAGCCCCATTAAAAAACAATGTTTGTCTATTACAAAGTCATGTTTTCCGTTTTTCCGCTTTATAAAGTCAGCGATGCTGGAGGGTGTCTAGCGGAATCCGTCCTCCAGGAATGAGTGCAAAAGGGGAGCACACGGCTCAGGGACGTCCCTTCAGTGAGCAGATGGAAGGACTGGCTGGAGGCCTCCCATCCGTTTCGGACAAACACACACATACAGAAAAGGATTATTGCCAGCTTGTGTACTTTCACAATGTGATTTTTGTATTTCGAAAGCTTGAATTGTCCCTGAAAGAAAAAAAAATGGGAGAAAATAGAGTGTTCAATACAAGGATCATCTATACACAAGCACACATATACAGGGGGAAAACTGACTCAGCAGCCCTTGGGGTCTCCATGACACATCCCAGGACCTTCCTCATTTGCCAATCTAATGCCAACGCAGCAACCCACCTCCTGAGTCCCTTGAAAAGCTTAGATTCATTTGTTTGCAATAGTAAAAGATTAGAAACAACCCAATGCAGGTCAAAAGGGGAGTGGCTAAATATTAATGTTATGGCACATTTGTAGAAATAAAACAAGAAAGCTCTCTATTAACTTGGACAGATCACTAAGATAAATTGATAGCATAAGGTACAGAACAGTGTGTGTACACAGCATGCTACCTTTTGTGGGTGGGAAGGATAAGACCATTTCATATTTGCTTGTATATACATTAAGAAATTCTGCAAAGCTACACAAGAAACACTGTTACCTGGGACAGTGGGAGTGGAGGGGGCACAGTGGAAACTGGGCAGATGGAGGAAACATGTGAAGGAGACATTTCCTCTTTCCCTTTCTTCTTCTCTCACACACACTTTAAAAAATTGAACCATGTGATTGTACTACATAAACAAAAACCAAATAAAAATCCTCAGTTTAAAACTTAGAGCAGCTTACAAAAAGAAAGGATACTCTAGGAGGTGAAATCTGAGCATTTTTCACTTTAGAAACATGGCTCTAGTTCTTCCAAGAGAAGTACATGTGTATACATGTGTGTACATGTGTGTGTGTGGCAGTGGGGGGGATCCCAAAATGTGTCCTCTTAGTTGCCTTCTATTGGATGCAGACAGGCTTGGCCGCTCACTAGTGCGACCTTCCTGTCCCACACTAGAAACCCAATGACATCTCAGCAGGTCCTATCACCATCTAACTGGATCTCAAAGTTTCAGGGCTGGCAGGGGCTTTAAAGGCCACTACCTAGCTGCTGCCCTTGTATAGTACTTCAGACTTAAATTTGCTGGAAACTTTTAAACAGAAATTCTTATTAACCTGAATTCTGGAGTCATTACTTCCCTTTAATTTTAATGGTACATTCTAGAAGCTTGGGCTTCAACTGACCTATCTTAAAAATTGTTGCGATTAACTGGATATATGAAAATTGTCCCAGAGCAAATAGATACTGAAGAAATAACATGCTCAGTCCAGCCAAATGGCAGTTTCCTCCTTTTACTGGCTAATAGATCCTCCTCCATGACGGCAGTAAATAACAGCCCCCACTGCACAAAGAGAGTAACTGTAGACAAGAACTGAGGGGAAACTGCAGCTGGGAAGAAACTGATGTCATCTCACTGGCATTTATAACTAGCAAGCATAACCATGTGGCTCACTTATAAATGGCTACTGAGCATTTCAACTATTTTCATCTAAGCAGCGGAAGGCTGAACACAATGTTAATAGGGTGACCATCTTTTTAAAAGGCCAGTGGTATAAAAAACTCCTTTCAAAAGGACAGGCCTCTCTGAGGTGCCACAAGTAGATAGCAAAAGACAGGGAATACATCTGCTTATAACACAGAGGAAAGCAAGAATAACTGAATGTGTTATTTCTGCTTTCCTTTGGGGCAATGTGCTGTGTTACTGAGACTGCATTACAGAAGATACCTTTTTGTATTTACATCTAATACCAAAGAAAGTGATTATACAGATGCACATGGCTGTATCTCATTTCTTCCCTTTTAATGCCATCTCTATGCCCATATAGCCACTGGACAACTCAAGTCTATCAGTAGGGATTCCACTCTTCTTATCAGAAGAAGATTTTTCAGAATAATCATGGAAAGGCAGGGGTGTGGGAAAGTGGAATCAGAGAATTTCCTGACTCTGGGAGAATTATCTATCTTTGAGTAACGGAGGTGGCAGGCAAACATCCAGATTCAGCTCTTTTAGCTCTTCATTAAAGAGAATTTTCAGGATAATCATCACCATAAGCAGGTCATCTTATATTTTAGAGGAATTCCTCTACTATGCTGGGGTTGGACCAGAAATACATTCTTCTTTGTGTGGCAATTAAATTGAAGAGTTTTATAAACACTTTCTTATTCAGATATTTAATATTTATTCTAATTATTTCTATTATTACAGACCTCATTATAGTCAGAAAACCTAAGAAGTCTTATGATTATAAGGTCTGTTAGCAAGATGGAGAGAAGGGGATAAGGGTAAAAGAAAAGCCAGGAGCATCGACTGAGGTTTGTTCAGTTTGTTTTAAGAGGAAAACAAAGAGTAATAAGGGCGGGGTGGCCTGCTCCTGACAGTGACAGACTAAAACAGGATGGTAGCAATGAGGCCCTACGGCTTTGGTACAGCCCTTCTTTAAAAAAGTGGATTGAGAACAGCTTGGTGCCAAACTTAGTCTGAGGAATGCGTTCACCTCAACTCAGGTGGGAAGTAATACTCAATTACATCCTGAACCCAAGGCTGCAGTGCACAGAGAGATCAGGAGACAGGGAAAGGGTGAATGTAGCTAGGAAATGGTAGGAGCTGCAGGCGACTCTTTTGTTTGTTTTGATATGCTTCTGTTCTTTTAAAAGTAAACTAAAATTTAGAAAATCCACAGTAAGTTCCTGAGGGCTAGTCCTCTATCCATCTGGCAGTGCTGTGATGGTACATGGGCTATGCTTAGGGTACCACATAGGACACAGGAGTTCACAGTCCCACAACGCTGGAGAAAATCAAAATAATTCTTTCTCTACTGGATATTCCTTTGTCCTGATGATGAGATCTCAGAAATATCAGAGAGCCCCATCCAGACTGGCTTCCAACTTAACATTCCCAGGTATTTTGGGGAAAACATTGCTCAAATACTCTGAGACAACTTTCCAATCTGCTCTGCATCAAAATGATCACTTTTCTGTACTTCTAGAAAATGGGCAGGTTCCAACTTTGGGAACAATGAGCTAAGGCAGAGGTTAACTCCTGAAGGTGAATGACAGAGGGGTAAGTTGGTTACTCAGAAGAATGCTTTCCCTTTCTTGGAGTTACCTGCCACTGTGTTGGTGCCTGGCAGAATCCTAAGGGATTCTGAGTCTTCAAGCGAAAGCTGGTAGTCATCCAAGGAGGAATCTTACCTGAGCCTGTGCTCTGAAGTATGGCTTTGGGCAATGCTGTAGACCTAAAGAAGCACACAACCTTAAGGAGAACTTTCTCTGGCTATCAGCTGCCCACTCCTGGCCAGTTTGTCTTTTTCTTCTCTCCTTGCATATTCAGTAAAGCTGCAAATCCTTCTAGGTTCAGTGGGAGCAAATGCCAATCTCTCATCTTTGTTTTACATCAACTTCATTCCCCAACAATACAGATCACTGTTCTGTGCATGCGAGTTAGGTAACTAGAATCCTCTCCTAGGGGTTAACTGGGACTTTTACTGAAGCCATGGCTAAAAGGGCAATACTTACTTGTAATGGAAGTGAAATGAAAGTCCTAAAATACTAGCAGTCATATGTAATGACATAAAATAGCAGATAAACTGAGGAAAAGTATTTGTGTTTCATGAATTATTTACATAGCATTTTTTCTACCACATTTCCTTATAGATCACAATCTACTTGGAAGAAGAAAAGAAAAAGGGAGAGAAGGCTAAAGTGTTAAGGGGCTTCTAAATTGGCAGACCCAACAATCATGAGGTGGGCATGCGTATCTCTTTAGAACATCTCTTTCACTTTAAGTGATGTTAAATCAAGAGATGCAATGTGAAGTTCTTTCAAGTTTGTTAAGACAATGAAGGGAGTGGATTTCTTTTTGTTTAAATTCAAACACTCCTCACAGACTTCCAAGTCTGTGCTTTAAGGAAAACACCTAAATCATGAGTGCTCTTCCTCTGCCTCCCACGCTGTATAAAAAAGATATGGCCCTCCCCCCAGAAAAGAACAAAGAGACCACAAAATGGCAATTATGCAAATATGACTTTTCACAGCAATCCAAAGATATTTTTCCTGAGGGATTTAGTGTCTGCCAAGAGGGGTGGGAGTCATTTTAACTTTTATTCCATCCTGACTATACTACTTTCTTTTTAAATACTTCTTTTTTCATGGAACCTAAGACACTATCAAATTTTTTTTTTTTTTTTTTTTGAGTAGGAGTCTCACTCTGTCGCCCAGGCTGGAGTGCAGTGGCACGCTCACGGCTACCGTAGCTTCTACCTTCTGCCTCAGTCTTCCAAGTAGCTGGAATCATAGGTGTGCGCCACCACATCCAGCTAATTTTTTAATTTAATGTAGAGACGGGGTCTCATCAAGTTGCCCAGGTTGGTCTCGAACCTGGGGGCTCAGGCAATCCTCTTGCCTCCTACTCCCAAAGTGCTGGGATTACAGACATGAGCCACCGCCAATTTTTAAAGGCACTATCATTTTATGTACTTTAAGAAGTAAACACTGCCCATGAAACTATGACAAAACCCTTATCACATTCACTGTAGACACCCTGATTTTAAGAATATTAAAAGCAAACAAAATTAAATTAAATATGCTAATATCTTAAAAACAATTCCATTATTGTACCAGAGTTCTGAAAATTTAACTTAATGCTTTATTTAAAATATTTGCTATTTTTTACCCTCCAAGTCAATGACTTATCCACTATTAGAGCTGGTACATGTTTTTCTCTCTCCTTGTGTATTCTAGCAGCCCTCTTGGAATTCTATGTTGACTACATATACATACACACACATATATTTTTTAGAGACAGGGTCTCACTATGTTGCCCAGGTCAGCCTTGAACTCATGGGCTTGAGCAATCCTCCCATCTCAGCCTCCCAGGTAGCTGGGATTACAGACATGAGCCACTATGCCTGTCTCTATGTTTTTCAAGGAGAAACCTTTTAAATTGTTAATTTTTAAAATCTGATATTACCATCTGAAAATTGAATTTATAATAAAGAAATCAAACTTCTTTGAAAAAAAAAAAGGTATGGGTGGTGCAATTCATGTGGGAACTCATGATTTTTTTTTTTTTTGAGTTGGAGCCTTATGCTGTCATTCAGGTTGGAGTACAGTGGCATGACTGTGGCTCCCTGCAGCCTTCATCTCCCAGGCTCAGGTGATCCTTCCGCCTCAGCTGCCCAAGTAGCCGGGTTACAGGTGCATGCCACCATGCCCGGCTAATTTTTTCTATTTTTTGTAGAGATGAGGTTTCACTTTGTTGCTCAGGCTGGTCTTGAACTCGTGGGCTAAAGCAGTCCTCCTGTCTCAGCCTCCCAAAGAGCTGGGCTTATCGGCATGAGCCACCATGCCTGGCGAAGACTGACTGTGTCAGTATACCTGTGGAGTATACTGACACCCCAGGGTACCCAGACCCCTGGTCATCCACTGCTGTCCTCCTCAGTGTTATCTTCTCTCCTATCCCATATGAGGGATGCAGGTCTCCTTTTCTGAAAAACCCCCATTTCCTTCCTGGGAAGAGGGAATTCTGAAGTAGCTACTATAGTGGAATGTTGCGCTCCAATTTAAGAAATACTATTTCTCAGGGATGGTAGTGGTGGGGTAGTTTGATGTCCAGGAAAAGGCTCTCATCTCCAATACATGCAGATACTGGCTTTTCATCTATTCCTTTCATTCAGAATAAATTTACCCAATTCCCTCTACCACAGAGACAGACATGGATTTGGGACTCTCCTAACTGAAATGCAAATATTTCTGAGGTCAATGCTGTAGTTGCCCCAACCTTTGCTACCTCAGTGCCTTTCCCTGCCAGTACTTATGTACTAGTCTAGTGACAGTATTGCCTGGAACTGTCTCTCACGCAGCCCTGGAATCCAGTCCCCACTTACTTTCATTGCTGAAACCCCGAACTTCTATCACTGTTTCCTCACAACTGATAAACAACACCAGCAAACAGGAAGACATACCTCTCATCTAACCCATATTGGGGCCAGTGAAACTGCCCTTTTAGTCAAAGGACATTGCCACATGGTTAAAAACGGCCACAACTGAACAAAAGAAAAGAGATCTGTGGCACATTTACCATCATGAACCGTTAGCACTGAAAGAGATTCTCAGAGACCTGTTGGTCCATGGAGCCTCATTTTCCAGATGAGAAAACAGGCGTGATGAGGTGAAGCAGCCTGCCCGGGGGCTTGTCAGGAGACATGAGACCCAGGGAGGACGAGAATCTATAGTTTGGGATGCCATGTGTTTCTTTGAGGTTCAATGTTGGCAGAGAAAGGTTGGGAGTAAATGGGAAGAGGGCATCCCCTTGGGAAGAGGGGTCCTATGGCTGAGAGGTATGTCACAGGGTTACAAAGAAGATAGACAAGGCCCTACCCTGAGTGTGAGAGACAGAGGGGGAGCGTCCGATCAGCGGCCGCTGCTGTTCACCAGGCCATGAAACTCCTCCCAGGCCCTGGCAAACCAGAGACAAAAAACACAATAGGACATTCAGATCAAAAGCTTTTGAACAGAGAGAACAGACACGATAACCCCAAATCCCACTTCAGATGCCCTCCAAGTCGAGTGGAGTTGCAGGTACCTGGGAGCAGAGCAGAGGTCCCCATTGAATTTTCCTCTCAGACTGGCAGTTGCAGTCCAACCTTTCAGGGACAGCGGGTACTTCTGCTTGCTCCACTTGGGCAGTCTGCCCCTATTCCCTCAAGGATTTGCAACAGTGTTCCTTCAACAAGGCTACAGGGGAGGCCAGTGAGACCAAGCTGGAGCTCAACCATCACTGGAAACACTTCCAATATACACTTCCTGCCTTTTCTGCCTTGGGTACCTGGGAACAGGTGGTAGAAACAATCTTTAACAAGCCTCATCCTGAGGGTAAAAGCAAGTAGTCAACAGCATTATGATGTCTAAAGATGTAATGAGGACATGATACCATTTTCTCTGCTTTCACATTTTCAACCTTCTAATCTGTTTAAACCCAGACCCTAAATGTGTCAGGTTCCATCTGCTTCTTACATACTTATGTAACTATTATGTCAACATTTAAGTGTAGATCATGGCAGTTCTAAATCTCCAAGGAACAATGCTCATCACAACTTTCATGCTGATTAGCTCAATTTTGAAATTGGGGTTAGGAAGTGATAACAATGTGATGGAAAGGGTACAGTCTCTCAGGGTTGTGGTCCACAGAGAAAAGGCCCTTGGTGACTACTCAGTGAGTAACAGCAGGAGAAAACCAGATGCCTTACACTTCTGGAGGCTCTAACCCACTGTCAATTTTCTCAGAGGGCTGATTTCCTACCTTTTGGCCTAGCCACTTTTTAGCCCCAAAGTGGCAAGTTCCATAGGAAATATATATAACATGTGCTGCCTCTAAATCTGAAGTTTCTTATTATCAGTTACTCCATTCTTGGCTTAATTTGGTGACACAGTACCTGGGGGACAATATATGGTGTCACTTACTACATGTTAATATTATGACCACTAAAACATATTTTATTACAGGCCTTCTACAAGTTGCTTTTAGAAAAGAGACCTGGCATAATAAATTCATTCTTCTAGGCAGTATTTATACCAGCTTAATTCATATTTCCTTTTTTTGAACTGCAGCACTTATATTTAAACCATCTACCTCTAAGAGTAAGAGGTAGATTTTCAGTTAATGGTTTCTTCAAAGAGTATTACCAAAGCTACTAGTATGTGTTAACTAAATTAATTTGACACCAAATAAGTATGTCAGTCTTGTCAATTACCAAACTCAATGTTCACAGCAAGACACCTGTCCATAACCTTTCTGGCAAGGCAGTTAAGTGATGTACTTTGTGAGGCCCTAAGTGATGTCCGAAGGCAATCTCACTCTTCATTCCAAATGAAGAAAAGGGCAAAGCAAAATCCAGTACTTGGTAATAACCCAGGGAAACCCTTCGCTCTAACACTGAGACTTAAATTCTATTTTAAACAACTTAGGTGTCAACAAGAAATTACATGGCTGTGTTGAAACTTTGTATCATTTATCCTTTTGTTTCCAGAAAGGTCCATACCTACACTAGCCTAGACAGAACAGTTTTCTGTCAAGAATGCAAAGAAATATGGCCTTCAGTGCTCCTCCTAAACCATTTAAGTATTAAACTGCCCTCTCAGCTTCTTCAGAAGTATCTTCATTATGTTAATCCTTAACAAGAATCTCAGTTAAGAAATTTCCTCACATGGATTCAGTGGAAATAAAAGAGTCGGCTATAGTCTTTGGCATAATCACTCTTATTCTCACAGGTCAACATCCTGGCTAAGAGAAAAATCTACCGCCTAAAGCTAGGTGTGAATATTCTAGCAATTTTCTACCTGGCATTTCAGACATATTAGGTAATATTAAAACTTTCTTCTTTTAAAGGTAAACAAAGAACAAGTTAAATGTAAAAAGTGTCTAGGTCTGGAGCTTCTATAAAAAGAAAAAATTACTGAGATTAATATAGCCTACAGGGAATTCTGAACAGGATCAAATGACAGAGGAACAAAGAGTTCTTTGAAGACCACTCTTGTTCCATCTCACTTACCAGAAAGCAAATTCTGAGAGCAGAGATCTAATTTCTGTGCAATTCTGTACTTCCCTCCATCCCTGTCCAATACCTGCAAGGTTCCTAGTCTTGCACTCACCAGCCCTCAATACTCATGGAGGTACTCAGCCTCTTGCTAATCCAAGCTTTCCTCACTTTGACTTTAGTTTGATGGTACATTTCACAGACGCAAACCCAGGCCAGCAATTATGCTGGTGTGACCCAGGGCTACCAGGCTATGATATGGCCATGACAGGAGAAGGAATGGGTTGGTCCTTACCTAGATATTAAAGTTCAGTGCTGAAACATAATGATACCTAGATGTCGTAAGGGAAGTCCCAATCCAACCTGTCCCTCCTCTAGGATAAAGGGATAAAGAGGACTCACATACCCTCAACTCTCTCTGCAGAGAAGTGAGGCTAGTCTTCCCCAGCACTGCAGCCCACTATGGGAAGCTGGCCCTATTTTCCTTTTCCACTTGAGGCCAGATGCCAAAGGGATCTAGTGACGATTCCAAAGGGGAGATTTTTTCACAAAAGATATTGCTGTTTCATATTATGGCTTCCCAGTTTTATCCTGATGGCCTCATGGTTCTGGCTGTTATAAAGTTACTCCTCAAAGCAGAGGACATGGTGATCATTTGATGCTAGCAAGGATCCAAACCTATGAAAACTCAATTACAAGTTGGCCTCATTAAAAGAAACCATGACCTGAACAAAAACTCAATTTAACAAGTATTCCATTTCCTAGGGGTGAACTACAAGCAATAAACAAGGGCAAGAGCCCTTCATAGCAAAGAAGCTCATCATCCTTTCTGTGTGGCAGTGAATGCCTCTCAGGTTGCCTAGAGGTGCAGTAGGAAAAGCCACAAGCAGTGTGATTGGGGGGAGGCTGGAAAAACCAAACAGCTGAAAGACATTGGAAAGTGGACCCAAACAGCAAGCTGGAACTAAGCACACTTGACTGAAAAATCTAAGCTACTCCTAAAAAACTCCCTTTACCATTTCCAACACCCCTAATCTCCAGAATACTTGGGGAAGAATAATTGTTGGGTTTCTTCCTTCATCTTCCTAGGAATTCTCAAGTCCCGGCAGCTGCTGTTCTTTGGCTCAAATAAAGCCGTACTCATGAAAGAGCCACAAGGAATAGAACAAAGCAGACCTAGTTCTGACTTTTACTCACATGTGTAAAGGATCAGAGGGGTCTCAAGGTCAGTTTGGTGCTTTCTGACTGACTCTGACTGTGGGAGGTGACAGCAAGTTCATCCCCTGGAGCAGTTACAATATAGCAGAAATTAAGGTCAATGCATAATAATTGAAGGCAAGAGGTCAGATAGTCAGACAAGGTAATTCTTTGACAAATGATAAAAAGCATAGCGAATGGACCTTTCCATATTCCAGCAAATCTTCCATTTTCTAGATACTTCAACTACTTTTGAATATGCAATAAACAAAGCAGCAATGACACAAGCACTCCTAGAATGTTGTGCCTACAGTGCTGGTCCCAAGGTGTGCTCTATGGGATCCTGGCCATGTGGAGATTAGGGGTAAGTCAGGACGATGCAAGCACAAGATATCACAGCTAAAGTAGAACAGCCACTCTGGACAATGCAACCTTACATTCACAGCCACTTTTCACTAATCCTTTCAGGCAGCCTGACTCAGTGTTTGCAAAAATGATTGCTTATTTTTGTTTTTGGTGGTAGCTCCTAAGAAAACTAAAGTAACATGGGATTTGCTAAAACTCTATAATACAGATTAGAGGCCTAAAGGCCAAGCTGCAGCACATACACGCCAAAGCCACAAAGCACAGGAGGGGCTGGTATGTGGTATGTTCAGATATCCTAAGGAGCAAAACCACACAGGATGAAGACATTACCCCACCTCAGATTCCACTGCAGAGTAACAATGGGCCTGGGAGGAAGGGAAGGGCTATAACCTGGGAACCTTGCAAGCAAGGCTAGCTCAAAGAGGAAGAGGATCTGGCTCCAAAGGAAAGCAGAAGGGAGAAGGCTGGCAAAGATGTGTGGCTTGGGCAGCATTGGCACCAGTGAGAAAACCCCGTTAGCACAGAGCAAGGAAGCTATGTATATATAATATATATATATATATTATATATAATATATATATTATATATAATATCTATATATATATTTACAGCCACACACAGACGAAAGCAGGTATTTACCTTCAAGCAAGAGATTTCTTTGAAATAAAGGCAAACAGAAGTCAGCAAAGCAAAGGCCAAGGATTCCCCTTTCCAACCTTCACAGATTTTCAAGCTGAAATCACTCTGTTCTGGTCATCCGTGTGAATAGATGGGAACTCAAATTAAGGTACTAGAAAATGGGGTGTTATTTTGAGAGCTAGATGTCACCTCATTATGTCAGACCTCAGCAGTCCTGGAACAAGATAACACATGACACTACACAATGGGCTTATGGAAATAAGGTGGCATTCCCCGGATGGCCCTCCATGGAAAAGTCTGTGCCATCCCTTAATATGGTGACAGTCAGTCCAAAAGACCACAACTTTGATGCACCATAAAGAGCAAGAGCATGAGACAAGCTAGTTTAGCACCATTTATTAAGTGATCTCAGCTGTTGGTGTAGCTGCTGTGTCAGCCTGTTCTTAAAACATAAAATGCTCTTCCAATTCCTCTTGTCCAGGACAGAAGGATCTTCCAGGTAGCACGCCAACAGAACAAGAGGCTCCGATGACGCCAGCTTCAATGATGGTGCCATCCAGAGAGGGAGAGGGTCATGGCACATTCAACCGCGGCTTCCAGAGGTTTTGAAAAAGGAGCCTTTGGGGGCCCAGCCTGCCTGGCATTCTAGTGGAAGTGCAAAAGGTTGGCTCATTGTGAGAGGAAAGATGGGAATGAAAGGGAAAGTAGCATCTGGGTCTCAATGAGGGTTTTCTGGTCTCTATAGCTGCAGGACTGAAGAACCAGAGGCAGACCTCTGGATAAAGCAGTGAGCAGCAGGTCAGTCTTTCTAGCAGACTAAGGCAAAAATCTATAGGTTCTCCTAGACTCTTAAGGACATATACATACGTTTCTACAAAAGTCAGAAAGAACTGCCTCATGGTATTAGAAAGGGAGAACAGCAGAGAGGGGAGAGTTGATGACAAATACCGCTTTCCCTTTCCTATCTAGGTGCAAAATTTATTTTGGGGATGAGCTGGGGTGAGGGACACTTGGGAACCTTGAAAACAAGAGATCTAAAAAGAGTGTAGATCTCTCCAGCTTGGACTGAACCTGGCTGGAGGGCAGAAACTATTTCTATCCCAGAACACAGAGTAAGAAAAATGTGCCTAGAGAAAAACAATGCTAACACAGGACTGCTAAGGCAAGCAACTAGGGCCACAGCTGGCTAATAACTGTTGGTGGCTATGATGAGTCATATCCAGCCATTTGATTACAGACCAACTCCTGTGGCAGTGATCCCAGTTAAAAACTAGCACTTAGCTGGTTTAAGCCAACTCCACCCACAACATTATCTGTGAATGCATGGGAAAGGGATTCCCAAATGGTCAGTCTGCTGAACACAATCACTGGGCTCACTACTACTTATTCTTTAATAAGAATAACACGATGATGATATTATTAGTAATGATGATGATGATAGCAATAATAATACTTGGCCCTGTAAGAGCATTCTCCATCTGAGGACCCTTAGTTACAAAGATTAAATCAGCTTCACAACAGTCTTATCAGGTAAACTATTACTATCCCCCATTTCACAGACGGGGAAACTGAAGCAGAGTTGTAAAGAGAGTTGTCAAAGGCACATATTGATATGGGGTCATAGGAGGGAACTAAACCTTAAAGTCCTGACTCCTAGCTAGCTAGCTTTCCCTCTGGTTTTGAGACGATCTGGCAGCCACTCCCCACAACTTTTTCATAATAACCTGAACTTATTTCTGACAGTCAATCACAGAAAGAACAAGCCTAACCAGTAAACAGAGAGCCCCATTTCCCGGAGCACTAGGGAGATCACAAAGCTTGTATTATATTCCCTGTGACCTTCATGCTTCCCTTCAATTCTACTCTTACACATACTATTCTGCTTTCTCTAAGATTTCAGCTCTACACACAAGGAAATGGAGTCATTCCTCATAAGTAGTTAATTTCCCAGGACAAAGAAAATAGACTGAAGCTAACAGGTAGAAAAAGGCATGCAAAAGTGGGGAGAGGGGTAGGCAGGGAAGTAGACTTTATTGTTTGGTAAAATATCTTAAAAAACAGCAAGAAAAAGAAAAGCACTTTGTCTTTCATTTTAAGACAGTGGTTAGCGTATGAAAGACAAGATAGCGTATGGGAATTAAGCAAGCCCAAAAAGTGCAACTGGGTTTCTGTAGCAAGGCTCTCCCTGTGACAAAGTACCTGGTAGTGTAGATGGGCAGAAAGCCTCACTGACAAAGGACTGCAGCAAGTGGCCAGAAGCCGTAGAGGGAAAGCCTAACTAACCCTTCTCCATAAGTCAGTCTCCTGTCCGACCATACTCCTCTGGGCCCAGCTATGGATCTACTTCTGCTACACTCAGGGACATGTTCCCCCAAGCCCCCCCAACACGTACTTGATGCTGTCGGTGTGAGTTTTGTATTCCATAATGGTGTTGGGAGGTAGGTTAAGCACTCGCCGAAGCGTATCCCGGATTCGGGCTGTAGTTGCTTGGTCGCTGGCAGTCTTATTCCATATTGAAATAATGTCCTCCTAGTGGAGGAACAGAAGGAATCATCAAAGCAAACCAGAGGCAGTAAGGAGCTCAAAGGCCACACAAGAAACCAGACTGGACCACGGTTGGCATACCTGAAAGCGTACAGAGACCACAGCCCCACAGATCTCTTCCCCAACCATGAACTGTTCCCCCAACATGGCTAGGATGAGATTCTCCCAGCAACGGGAGGCCAAGCCCTTCCGGAGCCGAATAATCCACTTGCCACCATTTTTATTTGCATCATCCTATAAAAAGACAGAAAGAGTTGGAATTAAAATATGGCTAACAGTTCCTTTTCTCTTGTGTTAAGTCAGTAAAAGCCAAGAACCCCTTGAATACTAAGAAGTCTTATGACTTTCCAATCATTCAACCTTACAGAAAAAACTGTAGTAGGACTAGGGAGAGAAGAAAAAAGAAAGAAGAACAAAGCTGAGATCCTTGGTATAAGCCAATTTAAAAAAATAGCTAAAAAGACATTTTAAAAATAATCCCCCTTTATAAAACTGCTTTAAGAGTCAAAATTGAAATGTCAGACTTCAAACACAGATAATTCCTTACCCCAGTTGCTAAAAGTTTACTAAGTGTCAACATTACCAAGTGCAAAGACATGAAGCCCCAATCTCTACCCAGATCCAGTTTAGTAGAGACAAATAAGAAAATTACAGCAATACTGCTGTAATTACAAATGCTGTAGTAACAGATATGCACAATATGTTAAAAAGAACAAGTCAGCGAGAAGCACTCAAGAAGAGGAAACATTTAAGTTGGATCTTAAAGGAAATAGGAGTTAGACAGAAAAGCTGGTGAAGGGCATGGTGGGCAAAAACATGTGTATGTACAAGCTGACTGTGAGTTAGGAAGATGCAAATAGGGTCCAGCTGCAGGGACTGAAAGGTAAATTAGATGCAAGATCATGTGAGCAATGGGAAATTGTATAAGATAGGGGAGGGGGATGTGGGGCCAGGTAGATATGACAAATTTTATCATCTAGAAAAATACCCAGGCGTCAGAGTAGAAGCTGCATTACACCAGAGTGTAGCCAACTAATGGCTCTGCAAAGAGGCGATAAAGTTCATCTCCGAGTCTCCAGTTACTGCCTTTAAGCTTATTTTCTTACCCATTTTAATCATATGTGCACTATGCAAAAATATTACACACACACACGAGTTCTATGGAAATAGGGATCACACATACAAAAATCCTTTAATGGCATAATGTCATTTTAATCATAAGCCACCCAGCACCAATCCACACAGATAAACAATGGCACTGGAACCTTTCCCTACAGGCCCAGGCTCCAAGGATGCACCAAACAATGATAAGTTTTGACAGAAGACTTTAAAATACTTTTAACCTTGGAAGGGCTTAAAAACAAACAAACAAAAAAACAAAAAACAAAACAAAAAACCACACTCAAAAATGTAGTCAGAAGCCCCCAATCCTTACCTCCCACATGGGTTTAATTCCTTCTTTGAAGAGATGAAAGTCACTGTGGCCTGTCAGGTCCCCAGGACGTACCATGTGGCTATAAAACCTCCAGAACTGCTCCACCTGCAGAGAGAAGACCCCAGAACACAAAAGATGTATTTCTTCTTTCTTTCTTTCTTCCTTTTTCAAAAATTTTTTATTAGAGATGAGTTCTTGCTATGCAGTCCACACTGGTCTTGAACATCTGGTGTCAAGTGTTCCTCCCATCGTGGCCTCCCAAAATGCTGGGATTACAAGCATGATCCCACTGTACCTGGCCTTTTTCTTTTAATGCATTTAGAGATCCAAGACTTATTTAAGAACACGAAAGACACTCTGTCCTGTTTGGAGAACACATTATTTATTTATTTAATTTTTTTGAGTAGGAGTCTCATACTCTGTCACCCAGGTTGGAGTGCAGGGGCACACCACAGCCCTGATCTGCTGGGCTCAGGTGGTCCTTCTGCCTCAGCCTTTCAAGTAGTTGGAACCACAGGTGTGTGCCACCACACCCGGCTTTTTTTTGATTTATTGTAGAGACAAAGTCTCGCCAAGTTGCCCAGGCTGGTCTTGAACCCCTGAACTCAGGCAATCCTCTCGCCTCCACCTCCCAAAGTGCTGGGATAACAGGCATGAAGCACTGCATCAGTTGGAGGACACATTTTTATTTGTGGCATTGTGTGGAAAGGAAGATATAGAGGAAAAGTATATCACATAGTTTGATTTTTAAAAAATGTAACATTGCAAATACAAGAATAAACTCTTTGGGTAAGAAATGCTAGTCTTAGCCAGGAGCTTTGGTTGATAAAGTCATGTTAATATGTAGTCTTCCACTGAAGCTGCAGGATAACCATCACGTGCAGTAAGAGGACCAGTTTTACGCACAATGAAAACATTTTAGTCTTGAGGTATATTTGGTTAAGTGCTACACAACCTCAGCCTGAATACTTTTTTTTCTAAGAACCAAATCACTTATCAACCAAAGATTGTTTAACTGGCAAATAAAGCATTGGTTAGAATAAAATACAATTCAGGTCTGTTTAGTTATGAAGCATAGTGATAGAATCAACCACGTATACTACTACTTCTATGCTACATCATGGTGTAGTTGGTAAGGCCAGAACAGTCAAACAAGACTTAGCTTCTCACAGCTAAAATCCCCCTTCTTGGCTAGAAAAGTTATGCTTTTCTTTGCCTCTCCTTCACAATCCTGTTAGAAAACTAGATTCACATTTTCCTATCAAATGTATGCTTATTTATATTATATTCAAGATAGTCCCATTTCTCATTAGTGTCTTTTTTTTTTTTTTTTTGAGTCAGTCTCATTCTGTCGCTCAGGATGGAGTGCAGTGGCAACGATCATGGCCACCGCAGCCTCAACCTGCTGGGCTCAGGTGATCCTTCTGCTTTAGCCTTCCAAGTAGCTAGAAACACAAGCATGTGCACCATGCCCAGTTAATTTTTTATTTTTTGATTTATTGTAGAGACAAGGTCTTACCAAGTTACCCAGGCTGGTCTCGAGCCCCTGGGCTCAGGCAATCCTCTTCCTTCTCCCATAGTACTAGGATCACAGGTGTGAGTCACTGCGCCCAGCTTTTTTTTTTTAAAGAGATGGGATCTGGCTGTGTTACTCAGGCTGGAGTGCAGCTACATGATCACAGCTCACTGTAGCCTGGAACTTCTAGGCTTAAGTGATCCTCCTGCCTCAGCCTGGGACTATAGGCTCATTAATGTATTGACAAGAGAGTTTATTTCCTTATCACAGAAGACACCAACTAAGTATTGACCACCAAAGAGGCACACTCTAGGAGGAAAGAGAAAACAGTTGGTATTTGCAACACACTGCTGAGGAGGCTCTAAATAAACACACAGCAAGACACTATAATTGAGTAACTGAAAATGAATTTTGAGCAGACAGATTCAGGTCATACTTCTAGATCTGGGTAGCATCTCAGGAGAAATCAACCTTACACTGTGTGAAACGGCTGTCCCTTCAGTTTCTCTCTGGAACAGGAACACTGGATATGTCTTACATATCAAAAAGAAGTCCAGAACTAATGCCATTTGTAGGACTTCAATGCAGTCCCTTATATCTTAGCAGCTGCTAAGCTTAACTGCATGTAGTGATTTGGGATATTAAGTGGTCATATGAATACAATGATCAATAATCTAAACCTTTATCCACGCTAACACAGTTGAAAGAAACAACGTCCACTCACTAGAACTAGTGGCTCACCGTGAATTAGAAGCTGAAGTGGTGTGGTGGGGAGAAAGTATACCAACCATGCCCCTGTCAACAATCACTTTAACAGTTTGATCTTCTCTGATCTTACAGTTAAACTGCACAATCTTATAATACAAATGACAAAAGAGATGAAGTTAAACAGCTTGAAAATACTATTAAACTTTAAAAGTTTTGAAAGTTCTAATTGAAATTTAAAAAAATCCACAGACTCAGAATATGAAATATAGAAATAACCTCAGAAAGTATCTCAACTATCTTACTCATTTTATAGTTGAGAAAATGGTTTCAGGACTTGCTTCAGCCCATAAAGCCAATCATCAGAAGTGATACCCAACTCCAGCACTCTTCCCATTTCCAGACACTACCTTTTTATTAGCCCTTCTCAGTAACTTTTAAATGTTGGTAACCTTAACCTTAGTAACCATCTCAGTAACTTTTAAATGTTACTAGATTAGAATTAAGGAACACTGAGAAATATCACCTTAAATTTGATAAAATTCACAGTGTAATTATTTCTTTGTGAGGAATTTAATACTGAGAACCATATCCTAATGCCCTGAATCACATAACAGCAGATTTCATTTATTTATTATTTTTTTATTTTGGAGGTCAGAGGCTCTGCTGGGCTCAGGCGATCCTTCTGCTTCAGCCTTCCAAGTAGCTGGAACTATAGGCATGTGTCACCAGACTCGGCTAATTTTTTTGATTTATTGTAGAGACAGGGTCTCACCATGTTGCTCAGGCTGGTCTCGAACCCATGGGCTCAGGCAATATTCTTGCCTTTGCCCCTAAGGTGCTGGTATTATAGGTGTGAGCCACTGCACCTGGCCAGATTTTAAACACTCTGTCACAAATCCAGTGAGTACTGAAGAAGTGTGAACCCAAGATGGTGCTGATGATAAACCACTCAACTGAACATATATACCAAAAGGAATTAAAAGCAAAACCCCCCTTGCACAAGCTGGGTAAATCCATACATACTTATTTACAAGAGAGAAAGAAAAATGCTGGAAATAGGCATAATCCAAAATAACAGAATCCTTAATGAAAACCTCCCCAGGCCAGTTTCTTCTCTGATCCTCTGACTATTCAACCAATTGTACATAACACAATGACTGCCATTTTACCTGTAATGTCTAACACTCCCACACAGCAATCAAAACTTTTGGGATGGATTCAGGAATGTTAGAAATGCATGGATAGTTCAAAAGTTTAATTCTTTTATTTTATTTAGTTATTTTAAAATAGAGATAGAGGTCTCGCTATGCTGCCTAGGCTGGTCTCGAACTCTTGGCCTCAAGTGATCCTCCCACTTTGGCCTCCCAAGTGCTGGGATTACAGGCATGAGCCACTGCACCCAGCCCAAAAGCTTAATTATATTGTTCCCTCTGTCAAGAATTCCTTTTCACCATCTGTTTAAGTTCTTTAAAACCCATCTCTTCCAAGGCAGCATTCTCCAAGTTGGGATCAACTCCTTTCCTTTGAACTCCAAGAATTCTTTAGCTATGCCTTTCCTATAGCACCACTCATTGTCTACCCTATACTAGAAATTCCTGGGCATTCTTTATTTCTCTAAGGGCAGGCTCTATGCCTCAATTCCTTTTAGATACCTATTAGGGCCTTGAATTCATTCAACAAACATTTCTTGAACCAAATATAAACCAGTGTATAAGCTATTTATAATATTTCAAAACAGTCTATGTTTACCAATGATAAGGCAGCACAGGCTAACTAAACAAGATATTTGCTTTGGGCTAGAACTGCATCAACTCAGCATAGTAATGCAGTTGGCCTCACATTAAGCAGATGGTCTGATTACGAGTTAATTATGGATATCTGATTAATACTAAATGCAAAAATAAACAGTTTGCCTAGTAAGCAACATTTTAAAAATTGGAGCTTTTAGATTTGCATTTTGGTGTACTGCATGGGGTTTGGAATCTGAATTTCACAGCCTACCCAATCTGAGTTCAGTATTGCCTCCCCAAATTAATCAAGTCAATTATGACTGACCTGAGACTTTAGATCAGATACTTAACCTAAGTCTCACTTTCCTCATTTGTAAAATATGGATAATATCACTGATATCACAGGGCTATCGAAGTGATTGAAGAATATTACACAAATTAAGTGCCTATTACTGTGCCCTTCCTCTTTAGTCATTTGTCTTTTACAGTATTCTTTTTAGTTTCTGCATTTTAAACAGGACTAAAACCTCAGTAATGTCAAGAAATTGACAAATCTTGCATTTGATTTTGTCCCAGAGATAGAATGTACAGCACACAGAAGGTACATAATAAAAGATTTCTTGAACAAGATAGTGCTAGTTGCAGACAGCTTCTCAGGGTACACAACCCAACCCAACTGGGAGGAAGATGAGACATAGCCTGGGCTCTATGAACTGACAGTACCCACATAAACAATGATGAGAGATTTCATATTCTTTCTGAACACAGGAAAAAGATGCTGCTTTATGCACAATCACTAACATAGCCAAAACCCAAATGGGAGGTTCTTAAATACAACAGAAACCTTAGAACTTTACTTTTGACTTTACCGCCAAACTTCATAAGGACAGACACCATATACTATAAAATTCCATATCCATCATAATGGAATTCCATAAATATCTACCTAAATAAAAAAACCAAACCTGTGCTTTAGTATTATGCCCTTCTGATCAATTCTTAAATTCTCACATTTGTTACTACCTACATGTTAACAACAGACATCTAGTGAGAAACCAAAGAACAAACAAATCTGACCTCGGGAACTTAGGTCAACTGGTGAAGGAAACCAGAATCTTAAGTAGGTTATCAGAAGGGAAAATAAACATCATGATATAAATACAGGCATAGGCCAGGTGCTATGTTCATGCCTGTAATCCCAGCACTTTGGAATTTGGCCGAGATGGGAGAAATGCTTGAGCCCATGGCAAGATCCTAAACTAATATAATAATTTTATCTCTAAATCTCTTAAAATAATAATAATGATAATAAATTAACTGGGTGTGGTGGTGAATGTCTGTAGTCCCAGCTACTCAGAAGGCTGAGGCGAGAGGATTGTTTGAGCCCAGGAGTTTGAGGTTGCAGTGAGTCATGTTTGTGCCACTGCACTCCAGCCTCGGTGACAAGAGTGAGATGCCGACTCAACAAATAAACAAAAAACCAAACAGGTATGAATGTACTATCAAGGCACACTCCATTAAACCACTAAATACTCACAGAGGCAAAGGTGCCAATCTGCTTGATATTCTGCTCATAGCTCTGTGAGCTGGTGGGACGGCCTGGGGTTCTCCTGGAGTACCAGAAAGTGTAGTTGTACTGCAGGGGATGCTCTGCTGGTCCAGGGACAACAGCCTGGGAAGTACAGAAGGTGTGTTAATCCCGGGCATTTGTCACATGCTCTGAGACTGAGAGAACATTTTTCAGTGTCACTGTTTCTCCACAATTAAAAAAGGATACAACCTTAATAACCTGCAATATGTCCAAGATTCTGCCTACCTACATGTTAACAACAGACATCTAGTGAGAAACCAAAGAAACCAAAGAACAAACAAATCTGACCTCGGGAACTTAGGTCAACTGGTGAAGGAAACACAGTAAATTTCCTTAGTGGTTAACTCATTCTAAATTCCTGTGTGTTCTTATGACTTTTACAACTTTTTTTCTCATATTAATAATAGATATTTATGTCTGTATCTTATCTCAGCATGTGCCCAGTTCAAGCACTACCTCCTCTATGACATTTACCACTGACAAGCTGCTCAACCTGTTTGTGCCTTATCTTCTAACCTGTAAAATGGGAAAAATAATAATAACCATCTCACAGGGTTGCTGAGAAGATCAAATGAATTAGTAGATATAAAGTGCTCAGCACAGTGCCTAGCAGAGTAAATGTCAGTATTGTTAATACTGCTACTAGTAAATGTAAGCTCCTTTCACAATCTCATTCACCTTTGTGTCCTCATAGTGCTTAGCATAAATGCTTGCCCTTGGAGGCCACTCAACACTGTAGAATAAATTAATTAATGATGACTTTGATATTTCAAGGAAAAAACTATCTCTCACTCTCTAAATTTTCTCTTTTCCAAGCCACTTCAACTTATACTATTGCTGATTAAAGAGTCTAAAATTTCAAGGGATATGTAGTATTTGAAGTACTTGGCAGCAGTTTATGAAGTAGCTAATAGCTTTGTTAAACTCTAGGGTTAATCTCCCCCATGTCAAGCAAGAATGCTGCAGGCAAGGCAGCAACTCAACTGTCTTTTGGCAAGAGAAAAGTTGTAAGTCCCAAAATGGATTTCAGTGATTCCACAATTGTTTTTGAGAACAAAATCAGATATTCCAAAACAGAATGCCATCAAGTTAATCTGGTATCTTCCAGATAAACAGATTCCACAAGATAACTAAGTCTCAAGTTCAAAGGCAATTACATCTGTGTAGCACAAAACTCACCTTCCGCTTGCTGCTACTCTGATTCTTGTCTCGTTCCGCTTTTTCCTTCTCACCATCTTTCTGTGTGCTGTTTTCTTCATTCTGATCATGGTCCCCACTGTCGTCATCTTTCAAGCTGAATAGGAAGGCAATACAATGTCAACCTATGACAAAGCTGATTCCTGCTTACCTAACAAAGCCACCAAGTCACACGAACTACCATATAACCAACCTGAAGACACTCAAGACACTGTGAGATGAGAGAAGGGCAAAAGAATGTAGACAGGCAAATTGGGAGGATTAGACAAAAATGAAATGCCCATTAGCTAACTTGTGAACTCGAGAAAACACTGTCCTTCAGTTTTCTAACAAACCACACAAAGAAGCAGTTAAAGGGAGTAAGGTGGACTGTTTAAGGGATTCTTTTCTTTGCCAAAAATGAAGCCAATAATGAGAAGAGTTTCTGGATTAAATAACCGCGTTGACAGTACAAATAAAGATTAAAAATTTACCATGTATATGCCACATCTCCTTACAATCTCTCCCATTATTCTGTTACTACTTTTGTTCAGGCCCTTTTCTCCTGACAACTTAATCATACAAGAAATTCCTAACTGGTCTCTTTGACACAAGTTTTTCATCCTCTATCCATCTTTCCACCAGCATTATCTTTGTAAGTGCAAATCTGATCATTTAACTTCCGTGCTTCAAACTCTCAATCGCCCCTCACCCCTTGATGCCCACCCTCTAAGATAAAGAGCAATGAAATGTAAGATCCTCTAGAATCCAACACCCGCCAGCCGGCATTCTCCTCTAGCAATCTATGTTTCTACACCAGTGCCATTTGCAAACACTAACCCTTCAGCCTACAGCGCCACTCCTCCCATGTCTGCTTTTCCTACGAGACAGAGGGTTCCCTTAGAGCAGTTTTGAATTTCATCTCAGTATCTCCAGCACCCAGGACAAGATGCTGCTGCCTTAACAAGCAGTACAAGACAATGCTGAATAAATGTTAAATGAAAAGGAAAAAACAAATCACTGAAGGAAGGAATCAATGTGTTCTTGCTTCATAAGCACAGTGTCAAATGTACTTTAGGGACTACTCTTTCAGGAGCAGCCAACTACCTTTCACTGGATCCAGACAAGAAGATAAATGGAAGGTGAGTTCACAAAGCTAGTAAGAATGGCATTTATTCTAGAGCTGACCCATGAACTCATCATGGCTCTTTCCTGAAATCATCTTTCTGGTTTCTCATCTCTCAAATGAAATCAGGCAATTCTCAACAATAGTACTATAAATTATAATCCAGATATTATCCTATAAAGACACAGAAATGTGCTGTATTTTGTATTCATAGTTTGTTTCTTTGCCCATGAATCTCCAGTGACTAGTACATAAAAAGCACACAATAAATATTCGAATGGAAGAGCTGGTCATGTATTGCTCATTTCACAGCCCCAGCTGTAGGATATACTTAGTAGGTAGTGCCTTGTGCCATGAACTTCCCCATTCCCACCCTGGTCAAGACACAACTACAAAGGACACCTGACCAAAGGGCACTCCAGCCTGGCCAATAACCTGTGCCTCAAAAATATGAGCAGATGACTCCCTCAGCATTCACCCAGGAGATGAAAGATCACAGACTCAGGAGCTGGCAGCCATATGGCCAGATGCAAGAAAAGCCATGAGGGAATAAAGACAATGAGCAAAAGCAGAGAAAGTAGGAGGAAAGAGAATGGAGCAGATGTGTAGAAAAAGTGGAGAGGAGAGTTTAGTTGGCTATCTCTTTGGCTTAGCTCAGTCTCCCTGGACTTCTGGGAGATCACTATCTGTGCTTTTGATACTCCCTCACTCTCCCTTTATTAAACCTGAGTTGGCTTGGTTTCCCTTTCAAAAGGAGCCTATCTGGTACACAAGTCCTGTAGATTAAAAATTACCAACATTTACCAAGTATTTATTGTGTGTATCACCTAGGAGAGTGTCTGTACCTAAGGATCTAGCTGGGGATATAAGGTACATGTACATACTAATGTTTCAGCATGGCACAAAGGCCCCTGCTCTGCCCACATGTCCCAGTATCATCTCCTGTCTGGTCCCAACAAACTTCTTTCATGCTAGTTCTAGCAACCTATGTGCAATTCCCTAATTTCACTCCTCTCTTAGGCTCTTCATGTGGTCTCTTCTCAAGAAGCTCCTTTTAGCCTAGTTAACTTGTACTTCAGGGCAAGAGGACCACTTTCTCTTAGAAATATTTCCTAACCTCCTAACCTAGGTCAAGTCAGTTTCCCCTCTTCTGAACTTCCCCATGTAAATGTTTGCATTTGTCCCCTCTATACTTTTTTTTTTTTTGAGTTGGAGTCTCACTCTGTCGCCCAGGTAGGAGTGCAGTAGCACGCTCATGGCTACCCCAGTGTCGACCTGCTGGGCTCTGGTGATCCTTCTGCCTCAGCCTTCCAAGTAGCTGGAACTACAGGTGCACACTACCATGCCTGGTTAATTTTTATTTATTGTAGAGACGAGGTCTCACCAAGTTGCCCAGGCTGGTCTTGAATCCACAGGCCCAGGCAATCCACTTGTCTTGGCCATCCAAAGTGCTGGGATTACAGGCTAAGCCACCAAGCCCAGCTTGTCCCAACTATACTATTTTGGTCAGTTTTTGTCTTTTAATCAAGAACATCTCATGAGTTCTTCTACAGCTCAGGCCCAAGACAGCTCTTAACTAACTCTCTTCTTTAGGGGACACCACAGAAATGCCAACCAATTTTCCCTCTTCTTAGCTTCCAACTCCCTCTGAAGCCTCTGAAGTCCCTTGCTGTTAGATCTTGGTTGAAGAGGATCCCTTGTCACCCCAGAATCTCCCACTTTTACTAGCCCTAAGAAAAGCATATAAGTTCCTTTCTTTTTAATAGTTTTGCTGCTAATCACTACTAGGAAACAGAGAAATTATTATGTCAAAGAAGAAACAAGTTACTGTGATCACTGGACCATTTTCCACCCCTTCTAAGACAGTAAATGGAAACCCTAATGGACCTTCATCTAGGGCTGTTATTTCTTGAGGGTAGAGCTAACCAAGCACCCCGCCCTCTGAGTCTACATTTTTTTATATTCTATTTTTCCAGAGGGTATTTTTCAAAGCTTAAAGCTGGATTTGAGACAAGATACAACTCAGACTGAAAAAAATCAGTGGTCCATAAACTCAGGCAGGCAATTAGTATCTCTGAGGCCGTCCAGACTAAGTGGCACCTCAGTCAGCTCCCTAAGCTTCTACCCAGGTATGTCCTCACTCTCTGAACTAGATCAATTCCTTGTGGGTAGGAACTTGGTTCAAATCATCTTTATACCTTCAACATGATAAAACAAACTTCTGTTTAATGAATGGATCTCTAAAATTAAAGCAATGAGTGCCAAGTAGTGGTTCAGACAATGGAATAAAAAGCAAATTATATAGAATAGGAACAAAATCAAGTATGGCTTCTAGATGGGAAAACCAAGTTTATGAAGTTGAGACTGCAGTTCTTGTGAAAGCATCTTAGGGTTTTTGTTTTTTTTGTTTTTTGTTTTTTGAGTTGGAGTCTCACTCTGTGTCCCAGGCTGGAGTACAGTGGCACGCTCACTGTCACCACAGCCTCGACCTGCTAGGCTCAGGTGGTCCTCCCGCCTCAGCCTTCCAAGTAGCTGGAACTATAGGTGCATGCCACCACGCCTGGCTAATTTTTTTATTTGTTGTAGAGACGAGGTCTCACCAAGTCGCCCAGGCTGGTCTTGAACCCCTGGGTTTGGGCAATCCTCTCATCTCCGACTCCCAAAGTGCTGGGATTATAGGTGGGAGCCACTATGCCCAGCGTATCTTAGGATTTTACATATTGATAGGATCAATGGCAATGGGACCTAAGGAACTGATGGGCCTACCCACCATCCCCAAAAGCAAGTACAAACTTAGGTTTGGGTTGTATTCACAGAAGTAGGGTCCACACAGTAAAGGAGGTTAGAGTTCTTCTTTAAGCTGAGTCCATCAGCGTATACTACTATACTTAGCTCCAGGCACTGGACTTTTTAGAAGGATTCTGGCAAACTGGAATACATCCTTAGGAGCAATGTGGTGAAGAACACAGACTCCAAATATGTAACAATGGTATAAAGATAAAGACTACAGAATTATTATATGAACAACAACAACAGCAACAAAAAGAATCTAGGGGAAAGTGCTGTCTTCAATTGGCAGAAAGCTTTTTTTTCCTTCCTGCTATGCTAGAGGACAGATGTTAAAAGATCCTGGTTCAGTATAATAGTTAATAATTGGAGGGAACTAAAATGACCTAAATTCGTGAATCATGAAAGACAGTTAGAAAAAAGACCCAATTTAATTTTCATCACAAGGTGCTTGAACCAAGGTTAAACAACAAACCTGGGACAGCCCTTCCTGCTATCTTGGGCAAATTACTTATCCTCAGAGACTCTCATTTTCCTTATCAGTAAAAGGAGATAACAAGATCTCCTTTCACAAGGTTGTTAGAGTAGACATAACATGTAAGGTACCTAGCAAGATGCCTGTTAAAACCCATTATTACCATCCTTACTGCAGACCACTAAATGCTTTGAGTAGCACTGAGTTAGATGACCCATAAAGTTTTCTTAGAATGAAATTTGATTTGTCCAAATCAGTGGAGAAAGAGGTAGAAGGGTTCCAGAAAGCTCCAGAGAGAGGATTTCGATTTGGAGCTAGATTTTGCAGGGTTTATGACAATGGGATGGCAATGAGGTTCATATAGGGATGGGCCCAGCTCAGCAGCAGGATAAAGAAATCTGCCAAAGAATTTCTCAAGTAGCAGAGACCTTTCAGCAACCAGGAAACATTCCCAAGGAGCTCCCTGGAGTGTTGGCAATCCAGTGCTCCCTGAATGCGCACACCAACATTCACTGTACTGGGAAAACCCCACTTTTCCACCAACAGCACCATGTCATAACCTAAACTAACAGCAACTCCACCTTACATTTATATCTCAATATTCAGCAATTTACACAAGTACCTTTAAGCATTGCTGAGTGTGATCCGATCCTTATCACATGCTGGAGCAGCAGCAGAGTGCTAACCAGTAATGTGGTTTGGGCAACAATGGCTCGGAGACTAGGTAACTTTTTTGCGGTCAAACAACGGTAACTGGTGGATCTGGGACTAGAAATCAAGGTTTTCGGATGAGGAGACAGATTTACTAGACGACTAGAAGGGAGGTAAGAACATAATCTACCTCAAGATGCAATTCTTGTACGGAAGTAAGCAAAAAACACTCTCGCATTTTCTCTGTACCTCCAAACTGTGATGCTGGAATTAGGAATCAGTGTGGGTACTTAGAGAGCGCAGGAGGGGTTAACGGCAAAGTATACCTAGCTCTTGGCGAGTGTGTAGAAAGACGGGAACGGAAGGGGGAGGAGAAAGGAAGTAGGAAGTCTCTGAAAGGATGGGAATTCCGTAACCGTGCTAAGCGCAGCAGCCACATTGCCTCGTTGCATCTTTGCAACTCTGCGACACAGGCTGTTACCGTCCCCACTTTGCAGATGAGAAAATTGAGGCTCAGAGCGGAGAGGTGACCTGCCCAAGCCACTGAATGAGTGTGTGAGGAAAGTGGATTCGGAGGCAAGGCTGCAAGGCTGCGGAAAAACTCAAACCGCCGAGGTCTCCACCCCTCCACGTCGCTGGCAACCCGCACCCCTGCGGGCGTGGCGTCCGAAAATCTCCTCCTTCCAGTCGGCATGGCCACCCCTCCCTCGGGCCCCACGCTTCGCCCTGAGTCCGAAGGGCCCTGGGGTCCCCAGGACCCCTGTGCCCGTTGCTCCCCAGCCCCCTCCTCCCCGCCGGCCCAGGCTGCGTCTGGCCGCTGCTCGAGCCTGGGAAGGAAGCTGGTCCGGTAGAGTTTGCGCCGCCCAGGCCTCAGCGGGCGCAGACGCCGGGGAACGGTTGGGGGAAGGGGACCCGGGGGGGCGGCCACGCGCCACTCACGCGTCGAACTTGTTGTTCATCCTCTCGCCGCCGCTGTCGCCACTGCTTCACGGAGTGACTTCCGTTCCACTTGGTCCCTCTGCTTTAAGCCCGGCCACTTCCGGTTTCGCGGAGCGCCGCGGAACGTAGGCGCGCAGCCCGGGTTAGGGGCCGCTATTTCAGGACTCTAACCAAAGGCGGCTGCGCAGAGGCTTGGATTCACCGGCGAGGCGAGCGGCTGGTCTCAGTGGAGTCCCTGTCACTGTCTGCTCCCTGTGAGCCGCCCGCCTTAAAGGAGCGCGTCCTGGCCCCCTCCCGCAGCGGCTAGCGGGGAAAAGGCAGCACCGCGTCGTTGACAGCGCGGGCTCTGGAGTCGCTGCTTGGTAAAAATTACTACTCCACTTCTCGTGCGGGCGGGCCGCACCCTCCGGTATCTCTTTGACCTCCCATACCTCCCGAGGCTCTTTCTTGCAGTGGCGCTCCCACACAGTAGTACTGGCATACCTTGTTTTATTGCGCTTCGCAGATATTGCCTTTTTTTTTTTCTTCACAAAATGAAAAATGTGGCAACTGTGAGCCCAGCAGGTCTATCGCTCAGAGCGGAGGGATGACCTGCCCAAGCTCCTGAGTGCGTGAGGAAAGCTGAATTCAGGGCCATTTTTCCAATAACTTGTGCTCACTTCGTGTCTGTGCCACATTTTGGTAATTCTCAAAATATTTCAGACTTTCTCATTATTTCTGTATCTATTATGGTGATCTGCGACCGGTGATCTTTGATGTCGCTATTGTCATTGTTTTGGGGCACCAAGAACTATGCCCACATAAGGCGGAGAACTTAATGATAAATGTTGTGTGTGTTGTGACTGCTCCATCAGCAGATAGCACCCCATCTCTGTCCCTCTCCTCAGTCCTCCCTATTCTCTGAAACACAACAATATTGAAATTAGGACAATAAATAACTCTACAATGGCTTCTAAGTATTCAACTGAAAGGAAGAGTCGCACATCTCTCACTTTAAATCAAAAACTAGAAATGATTAAACTTAGTGAGGAAGGCATGTCAAAAGCTGAGATAGGCCGAAGGCTAGGCCTCCTGCGCCAAACTGTTAGCCAAGTTGTGAATGCAAAGGAAAAGTTTTTGAAGGAAATTCAAAGTGCTACTCCAATGAACACAAGAATGATAAGAAAGCGAAACAGCCTTATTGCTGATATGGAGAAAGTTTTAGTGGTCTGGATAGAAGATCAAACCAGCCGCAATATTCCTTTAAGTCAAAGGCTAATTCAGAGCAAAGCCCTAACTCTCTTCAATTCCATGAAGGCTGAGAGAGGTAAAGAAGCTGCAGAAGAAAAGTTTGAAGCTAGCAGAGGTTGGTTCATGAGGTTTAAGGAAAGAAGCTGTTTCCATAACATAAAAGCGCAAGGTGAAACAGCAGATGCTGATGTAGAAGCTGCAGCAAGTTATCCAGATCTAGCTAAGATCATTGATGAAGGTGGCTATACTAAACAACAGATTTTCAATGTAGATGAAACAGCTTTCTATTGGAAGAAGATGCCATCTAGGACTTTCATAGCTAGAGAGGAGAAGTCAATGCCTGGCTTCAAAGCTTCAAAGGACAGGCTGACTCTCTTGTTAGGGGCGAACGCAGCTGGTGACTTTAAGTTAAAGCCAATGCTCATTTACCATTCAGAAAATCCTAAGGCCCTTAAGAATTATACTAAATCAACTCTGCCTGTGTTCTATAAGTGGAACAACAAAGCCCAGATGACTGCAAACCTGTTTACAGCATGGTTTACTGAATATTTTAAACCCACTGTTGAGACCTACTGCTCAGAAAATAAGATGGCTTTCAAAATATTACTGCTCATTGACAATGCACCTTGCCATTCACGAGCTCTGATGGAGATGTACAAGGAGATTAATGTTGTTTTCATGCCTGCTAACACAACATCCATTCTGCAGCCCATGGGTCAAGGAGTAATTTCAACCTTCAAGTCTTATTATTTAAGAAATACATTTCATAAGGCTCTAGTTGCCATGGATCATGATTCTTCTGATGAATCTGGGCAAAGTAAATTGAAAACCTTCTGGAAAGGATTCACCATTCTAGATGCCATTAAGAACATTCGTGATTCATGGGAAGAGGTGAAAATGTCAACATTAACTGGAGTTTGGAAGAAGTTGATTCCCACCCTTATGGATGACTTTGAAGGGCTCAAGACTTCAGTGGAAGAAGTAACTGCAGATGTGGTGGAAATAGCAAGAGAACTAGAATTAGAAGTGGAGCCTGAAGATGTGACTGAACTGCTGCAATCTCATGATAAAACTTTAACAGATGAGGAATTGCTTCTTATGGATGAGCAAAGAAAATGGTTTCTTGAGATGGAATCTACTGGTGAAGATTCTGTGAACATTGTTGGAATGACAACAAAGGACTTAGAATATTACATAAACTTAGTTGATAAAGCAGCAGCAGGATTTGAGAGGATTGATTCCAATTTTGAAAGAAGTTCTGCTGTGGGTAAAATGCTATCAAACAGCATTGCATGCTACAGAGAAATCTGCCGTGAAAGAAAGAGTCAATTGATGCGGCAAACTTCACTGCTGTCTTATTTTAGGAAATTGCCACAGCCACCCAAACCTTCAGAAATCACCACCCTGGTCAGTCAGCAACCATCAACATCAAGGCAAGACCCTCCACCGTCAAAAAGATTACGACTTGCTGAAGGCTCGGATGATCATTAGCATTTTTTAGCAATAAAGTATTTTTTAGCAATAAAGTATTTTTTAATGTATGTACATTTAAAAAAGAAACATAACTTTCCGGTGTACAGTATAACTTTTATATACACTTGTATACATTACTTTTATATGTACTTGGGAACCCCAAAATTTATGTGGCTTGCTTTACTGTGGTGGTCTGGAACTAAGCCTGAAATATCTCCAAGGTATACCTGTACCTACCTCTTCAGGTTGCTGTGTGGATACCACAACACAGTATGTGCTAGGCTTAAGACATAGTAATCCATAGTGAGGGCAGCTCGTATTAATCTTTGGGTGCTTACTGTGTACCAGGAGACACAGAATTAATCTGCCCTCTGAGGTTTTCAGAGCGGCTGAGAGACCTGTGCCAGGTGACACAGCTAGTAAGGGGCTTACAGGAATCTGAGGTGGTCCCACCATCTCATTGTCTCCTGGTCTTTTCTGCATCATCACCCCACTAGGACTCTATTCTAATTTTATTCTTGCTTCAAACACATTGTTCATGTGCACACACTGGATTTTTGCCCCAAAGCCAGCAATCCTGTGCTTGGGGAAAGGGTGTATTTCCAGGATTCTCTCCCCGCAGCATGTCCCATTGTCAGGCCTTTATTTGACACTTATATTTTTGATTACCTTTACTCACACTTTTGATGCTGTGGTGAAAGTAGATAGGAACTGATATTTGTGCCCATATTTACAGATGAAACAGGTTCAGGGAGCATAAGTGACCTACCCATAGTTGCACCCTGGTCACCAGCAGGACTCAGGCACCAGCTGTTCTCTCAGAGCAGGGCCTTGCCTCTCCCTCAGGAAGACCTCTCTGCTTATTGTCTTATTTCCTGATTAGTGGGGACAAGGGAGGCCAATCAAGTTCTCCCAGAAGGCAGAACCCAGTAGCTCTCTGTTAACTCTAAGCCTCCCTGCCTAACTCTCCCTTGTCTTAACCATCCTTTGGGAAGACAGGTTTGTTTTTCAGGCCAGAGAGTCTCTCTTTGAGTGTCAGATAGGGTCAGAGTCAGGAAATCTACTCTCCAGTTCTTGTTTAATGCTAGTTCTTGGTGATGTGGAGAGTCCTTTCTACTCTGAGCCTCAATTTGCCAATATGAAACATGGGGAAATAGTGACTCTTGCTTATCTATAATGCTGTGAGGAGCTCTTAACAGTTAAAAAAATTCACAAAACTTAAGAAATCGTTTTGTGACCAGTGGCCAACAACAACAACAACAACAACAAACACTAATGGAAGGGCCACTAGTGCAGGCGAGTATTTGGGTGCTTATAGCACCCCGAAGGCAGGGGAAGGAGATGCTGACTGGCACTGGCTGCTGCTCTTCATACCTCTCTTGAGTGCTCTCCTTCAGGGAGAACTTGTGAAAGGGGAGCCAGTCTGAAGCTTGAAGGGGTAGGACTTTGCCGATACAGAGGTGACATACAAAACAGAGTCCTTAGGGCTTCAGAACTAAGGGATTTAGTAATGCTCTGCCAGAGTTAGGGGAGTAGGGGAGTGGTTAGTGCCAGAAGCTGGCCAATGTTACGTGGTTGCTGACTCCAGCAGTGTACCCTGACCACAGACCATCTCCAGCCATTCCAGGACTACAGCTGTCTCTTTATTTCCCAAGCTTTTCTCAGAGCCGTTTGGTTCACAGGCCTGAAGGACACTTCTCAAGGAGCACACTCATGACCTCAGCAGCAGCAGAACTTGGCTGATAAGATTCTGTGTGATCCACATGTATGACTCCCATGTGCCCAGCAGCAGTTGGTTGACTCAATTTGCCGAGGGTAGGTAGGAGCGGGGGTCTCCAGGGAATGGCAGAGCAGGCACCCGGTTGTAGTGGGCCATGAGGAAGATGCCAGCAGTGCCACAGACGAAGAGTGAGAGCATGGCCAGGAAGCAGACACGGTCCAGGACGCGGCCCACCAGGAGCCACTCCTCATTCCCCTGATGGTGGGAGGCAGGTGTGGGATGACCAGCAGTGGCACCAAGTCTGCCATGGGTCCCTATACTGTCCTTAGGCTATCAGCAGGTCTCTGTTCTCCATTTCCTTGGACCCTTCTTGCCTATGTCTGAGTCCCCAGTGGCACCTTCCATGGTCCCGTAGCCCTGAGATTCCTCCTCCCTGTCCCCAGCTCCGCTTTTCCCATCCCACTTCCCTCCATTGGCCATCCCACTGGTCTCGCCTCCATCCCAGAACCAAGCCCAGGCACTCATCCCCCTCCTCACCCCACTCGGCTTACGCTGTCAAAGTGACTCTGCTGGTGCCGGGCACGGGCAATAAGGTTGCAGGCTTCCACACAGGTCTGGATGGCTGGGGCCGCCTGCTTCAGGCTGCCACAGAACTGGCTCATCCCTGGCTCTGGGCCTTTCTCTGAAGGGGAGAGGTGGTCAGGTGTGGGAGTACATTGGAGGAGAAACAGAGAAGTGGCCTTCCTTTAGGGATTCCGGCCCTCTTCCAACCTGAATACTTGTCTAACACTCATGTGCCGTGCATGGCTCTGCAGCTGGGGTCCCTGAAGAGCAGTGTCCCCAATCACATCCACTGTGCCTCACCTAACTTCTCCAGTGCTGCCCTCACCATCCCGTGCTGCTGCCGCTGCCGAAAGAGGAGTTCACTGCGAGGCAGGCAGAGGTCCACCTCCTCCCCAGTCATGATTGACCACCCCAAGGAGAAGCCATTCTGTAGTCGGGGCTGGGCGTCCCGTACAGCCAGTGGGCGGCGAACATGCATCCGCAGCAGCTGGGGCAAGAGCCACAGGAATACCTGGGAAGAGGGTGTTCTGGGTGGCTGAGCTTCAGCAGCCAGGCTGAACTTGGGCCCCCAAGCTTTTGTGCACATCAGAATTGTCAGGGCACTTGTTAAAAGCACACAGATTCTTGTCCCCAGCCACTTGCTATTCTGGCTTGGGAATCTCCATTTTTAACAAGAGTCCCAGCTGATGGCTGCCTGTGGGCTGCAGGTGACACAGAGTCTGAAATCAGACTGCCCAGGCAAAGAAGGTCCAGCCTCCTGTACCTTCTGGCTGTGTGACCTTGGGCAAGCTTCTTAACCTCCCTGTGCTTCAGTTTTTTCATCTGTAAAATGAAGATGATTCTAATACCCACTTTATAGTTTTATGAAGATTAAATAAGTTAATATTTGTAATATCCCCAGCACCCAGTAAACACTAAGTATTATTATTAATCCATTCTGGCACATATGTCAAGTCACACAGGGCAGGTTTACTGCTGACTGGCCAGGGATGGGTGCAGAGGAAGACACGGGAGCAGGCAGGGAGGGGCCTTGCCTTGCGGACCCCTCGGGCCATGGAGTGTGTGTGCGGGGACCGCAAGGACACGTTGAGTACAACCACAGCGTTCACAACAATGAGGATGGTCACCACCAGGAGGAAGGTCAGGTACCTGTTGGGGTAGGAATGGACAGGGGCTGCGGTGGCCCTTAGGTACCCCCCACCCAGATGCCTTCCCCACTCTTAGCAGCTGCTCCACTCAGGTCTCCTGAGTTGAGAATGGTGGGGGAAGGGGAGGGCAGGAGACCCCAAGAAGGGAGGGTGGGGTGGGCGGGTGGCTTCAGAGCCGGCCTTACTTGCTGATGAGTGGCACCGCCTGGGAGGTCTCGGGCACTTTCTTGGCCACAAGGAAGAGGAAGACGGTCTGGGCCAGGAGCACGTTGATGGCGACTGTACACTTCTGGCCCCCAGCTGCCCATGACCAAGAGACCCTCAGAGCAGGTCCCCACCTCCCCCACCCACAGAGGAACCTGTCACCCTGGGAGAAGCCTGCTGCCCCTGTCCTGGGTTGTGGTACCACTCTGCCCCAGGCAGCATCCTCCCTGGCCTCCCAAGTATCCCCGTGCTGCCAGATGGCTTCCCTGCCATGGGCCCCAGGTACCCTTGGCAGGAAGGAAATAGATGAGGATGGCGACAGAGGAGATGAGCACGCAGGGGGCGATGATGTTGATGACGTAGAAGAGGGGCTTGCGCTGGATGAGCAAGTAGAATGCCACCTTCTGGTGGCCTGCCTCCTCAGCCGGTGCCGCTGCGTCCAGTAGCATCTTGGCCGGACGGTGCCGGATGGCCCACTCCCCATTCTCTGCAGGTGGGTGGGCAGGGGTGGGCGCAGGGAGTAAGGGCCGGAGATCCCTGCAGCTCAAGTGACCCTAGCACCAGCAGAAGGGCACCCTTGGACAGAAGTGGGGCTGGAGATGGGACACTTGATCCCCTCCCTCCAAAATTGGAGTCATTACCATGGGGAATGTCAGAACTTTGTTGGACTTAAAAAAAAAAAAAACTTGCTTTGTGGTTTACTATAGTTTCATTTTGAGTTATGTGGAAGGGTATGACCTTGGCCTGGCATTGCCCCATGGCTGAATCCAGCAGGAGCCCTGGGCGAGGCTACCTGGGAAGCCCCTGGGTGGAGGTTACCTGTGAAGGCCTCAGGGTCAATGAAAATCCACTCAATGGTTTGGCCATCCTCCTGGCTCAGTTGCAGATCAATCTCACTGGTGCTGTAGGTCTGAGACCTGGGAGGCACCGAGGAAAGAGGCTAGATTTGAATGTGGGCGGTAGGTCTGTCATGAGGACACAGGGATGGTCATGTGTGGGCAGTGGTGGGCAGCTTTTCCTCAATAAATGCAGCCCCATGTGTCTGAGTATTTTAGAAAACCTTGGTGGTGGGATGTGGAGGGCAGAGGGGATTCAGGTTCTTTGGGGTCTGGAGTTTGAGTCGAAGAACCTGGAGGTGCCCTCACCTGGCTGCAGGGCACAGGGCCACTCTGTCTTCATCCCTCCCACTCTACTGGGGTGTGAGGGACATAATTAAATGTAGAAAATGCATGTCTACAAGAGAGGGCCCTTTGGGTCTGTTATGGACAGTTTTGTGTGTGTGTGAAAAGACTGCTCCTCTAAAATACAGGAAAACCCTCACCTAGCCCCCCCCCCATTTTCTTATGAGAAACTGAGGGCCAGAGGACCCCCCCCCAGGCGAGCTGTGGTTGCATACAGGCTCCTGCCAGATTCTTGCCAGGACTTCTCCCTCATAGGACAGCCCCATCGCCCCCATGGACTTGTATGTGTACTTTCTTACCCACCCACCACAGACATGAACTTCTCCCTGTGGGGGAGGCAGGGAAACCAAGGCCAAGGAAGATGAGTGAGAGGACTCAGGCTTGGCAGGGAGAGCTTGGGCACCTCCGGGTGTCTTGGCTTGAGATGGGCACAGAGGCCTGAGAGAGATGAAACTAGGCCCCTGGCCTCTAGGTGCTGCAGGAATCCAGGGCAGAAGCCTCACATCGCCCACCCCTACCAAGGTTCCTCTTAGAGTGGCTCTCCTAGTCCTCCCCACCCCACAAATGGCCTCACTGGAAGACAAGGGAGCAGTTCTGCCAGTCGAAAGGGAAGTAGGTGACTGAGATGGAGCAGGAGGAGCGGAAGATGGCGGGTGGCAGCCAGTAGATACAGCCGTCAGGGGACACGAGCACATTGCAGTAGAGGGCCACCTCGAAGACACCGTCCACACTGTGTGCACAGATCAGGCCACAGGGCTGTGGGCTCAGTCCTGACAGCCCCAGTGAGACCCTACAACCCAAGACAAGCCCTCTGCCCTGTGTGGATGGGGTCTGGGAACACCAATCGCTCCCAGCTTGCCACCCCCTCACTGGGCCACACTAAGACCACTATGTTCCCCAGCGATCTCCCTGCCACCCCTACTGGCTCCCTTGAGCCCCACCTCCTAATATCTGCTTCTGTTTCTCTCACCTTCTTTAATAATAATTATAACAATTGACTGGGCATGGTGGCTCATGTCTGCAATCCCAGCACTTTGGGAGGCGGAGAGTGGATTCCCTGAATCCCAGGGTTTAAGACCAGCCTGGGCAACATGGTGAAACCTTGACCTTACAATAAATAAAAAAATTAACTGGACAAGGTGGCATGTGCATGTAGTCCTGGCTATTTGGAAGACTGAGGCAGAAGGATCACCTGGGCCCAGCAGGTCAAGGCTGCAGTGGCCATGATCATGCCACTGCACTCCAGCCTGGGCAATGGAGTGAGACTCTGACTCATTAATAGTTATTATAACCGTAATGGTAATAGTAGCACTAGCATCTGTTAAGCTCTTCCATGTGCCAGACCCTGAGCCAAGAGCCTGTCATTCCTGTCTTGTTTATAGCTTCTGTAGGAGCTGTCAGGGGTCCTATGTTACAGGGAGGGGAGTAGCCCACCCAGATGGCCCAACCCAGAGGAGATGGAGCCTGACATAAGATTTAGACTGCTTCCCTGGAATCAGAGGCCATGCCCAGGACCCTGTCCTCAGCTCCTACTCTGTCTGAGCATTCCCAGCCCCACAGGTGCCCGGCTTGCACCCTCTGCTCAGCTTTCTCTTTTACCAGAGCTCCCTTGTTCTGCTGGGCCCTAACCCTCTGTATTTTGTCCCCTGGCCCCAGCCTGTGCCCCTGCTCACTTGTTTTCCAGCACGATGTCTGGCCTCCACACCATAGTGGATGGCACCCTCAGCACCCACAGGCCTTCGTAGTCTTGTGGGTTCCAGCGTAGGCGATAGTCGCACCACTGCTGTGGAGGGAGAGGCGGTTGCCAGGTGTCTGCTCTCTGCTGCCAGAAATGAGAGTCCAGCCCAGGGGTACAGAAGAGGCAGGGAGGTGACATGGAGCTCTAAGGAGGCCTGGGGCTCTGAAAGGAGGGTCCAGGTGGTCTCTTACCATCTCTATCCAGACATTGGTGGTGAGGGCCTCCTCTCGCTCGTTCTGGGGATGCAGAATGAAGGGCTCAGCTGATGTGTGTGTGCTGTCTCACAAATACACTTCCTTCATGCACACACACACACTCACACCTCTTTCCCTCAATGCACATGCGCACTCATACATACACACTTCCTTTGCATACTCACACATATACACTCATACACACTTCCTTCACACACCTCCTTCCCTCAGCAAGTGCCAGTTCCACAGGCCACTGATGGGGCCCAGCGGTCCCCAGTCTCTTGACCAGGGCCCCCCCAACTGTGGGGCACCCTCCTTCCTCCTGCACTGGCCTCCTCCTCCCTCCTGAGGCTCACCAGAGAGATGAGGTTGGTGAGGGTGAGCTTCAGGCTGACATTGACCACATCTGAGTCACGCTCAGCGGGCCGCAGGTGGGGGTCGTAGTCGTGCATCAGGTCTGCAAGCAGGCGTTCCTCCTGGTTCCGGCCCTGGGCCCCTACAACAGACAGCTGTGAGCCTAGCCACCAGGACTTTGAGGCAGAAATAGGGGAAGCCCCGGGGTCTGTGAAGTGGAGACTCGGGGAGCTGGGCTAGGGCAGGCCCCAATAGCCCTCAAGCCCTCCATCCCCTGAGGCCTTACCCCACTGCTCTGGGCCTCCCTGGGCCCGGATTCCCCTGTGTCCCACCTAGGCAGATAGCCAACAGCAGCAAGAGCAGCAACAGCTTCTGGCTCCCATGCATAGCTCCTCAGCCTCTGCAGTGACAGGGGTGGAACGCGACAGCTCCTCAGGTCTAGGACAGAGAGAGATGGGCTCTGGGTGTCATATAACAGTTTACACTCCCACCCCAGCCAGTCCAGCCCAACCCCTTCAGCTGTCTGACCACAGCATTTTCAGCTGTTCCAGGATGAACACAATGCTGGGCTCAGGTTACCTGGGCTGGGGAAGAGAGAGAGGGGCCCTGTCTGCCCCAACAGAGACAGTTCACCCTCCATCCCCACTGTCAGACTTGGTTGTCCCAGTTGTCTATCTTCCAGCTGGGGGTGGGTGGGGGGGCGGTTAGGACACAGTCAGGGACAGATGGGCGTGAGAGAGAAGACAGGTGGCCGAGGAACCTGACTGAGGCTCCAGAGGGGGCTGGTGTGAGCTTTCTTCTCAGCTTCCTCCAGGAAATCTGGATTTGGGAGGTGTGAAGGCTGTTGGGGAGGCATGTTTTGTACACGAGTTTCTCTGTAATATGGTTGAGGACCCCAAACCTTTTCCACCAGCCTAGCATCTTCATGGTTCACTCCAATGGGTCAAGACGCAGAGTATAAGGTACCTAGGAGAAATATGAATTATGCCTCACAGACTTCAACACCTTATGGAATTAGGGTGCCAGGTTGGGGTCCTCCCATGCTCTGAGTCAGGGGACACTGACATGGTAAGCTTTGAAGTAAGGAGGGCTGAAAAAGATCTGAAACTTTGTGTTACTGAGAGGAATAGGGGTTCCTGGTGAGATTTCAGTGTTTATTAAATCATCCAGCATATTTATGGGAATTTCAGCATGCTCAGGCATAGCACTGGGCCAGGGATACCCAAGGATGAGCCCAAGCTGTCTGTGGGAACTCACGGTCCATGGGGCAGGCAGACAGGAGTTGAGGTTGTATTCCCAGGAAAGTCAGATGAGGGCACCCAGAAAGGGAACAAAGGGCCAGAAAACAGGCTCCGTCCAGCTATTGTAGTTTGTGGTCAGGAAAGGGTGGGGCTGAGGCTGATCTCAGAGCCATGGGTTTTGCTGCCAGCTGTGGACATAGGCTCAGACCATTTGCCTTCTGACCATTTATTCCAAACAGGTCAAGCGTGTCTCAGTATGTGGGCAAGACAGAAATGGCAGGTTTTCAGACATGCCACCCACCCTTCAAACTGTCACTAGTATCTACAGGAACAGGGCAATGGGGGCCTCCTGGGGCTGGAGGGAAAGTGCTGTTTGAGGACCTATCCCCCCACCACCAGTGAATGATGTCTGTGGCATTTCCATGTGTGCCAGTAAAGGGGAGTCATTGAGCGCCTCAGTTACATCTAAAGATTAAAAATGTCACCTTCTGTATATCTGAGCTAATGGGATCATCAATTCCCCCTGAGAGGCTGAGCTGTGAATCAAGGAGTTGAATAATTGGGCCCTTGTGGCCTTGTTCCAATCCTCTCTGAATCATCATGTCAGTCTTGTATGCAGGAATCCTGGATATGAGCCTCTTTGTGGGGGATCCCAAAGACTCATTTTCTGAGAATCTGGTCCACAAAGGAGGAATGGGTCAAATAAACACCCTTTAAATTTGCAGGTCACATGTAAATACCTTTACTTCTACTATTAAGTCCATTTCCACAACACCCCATAAGTAGGACTTATACACACATTTTTTTTTTTTTTGAGTTGGAGTCTCACTCTTCATCCAGACTGTACTACAGTGGTACGATCATGGCCACTGTGGCCTCAACCTGCTGGACTCAGGTGATCCTTCCACCTCAGCCTTCCAAGTAGCTGGAACCACAGGCATGCCCAGCTAATTTTTTATTTGCTAGAGAGATGAGGTCTCGCCAAGTTGCCCATGCTGGTCTCGAACCCCTGGGCTCAAGCAGTCCTCTCACCTCTACTTCCCAAAGTGCTAGGATTACAGGTGTGAGCCACTGTACCCGGCCTATGCACACATTTTGCAAATGAGAATACTGAAACTAAGAAATGAGGAGTGGCTCACCCAAGGTCACACTGCTGGTGTAACAGGTTACTCCAAAACTCTGTTGCTGAAAACAGCAAATATTTATTGTCTCACACAGTTTCAGAGGGTCAGAAATCAAAGAGCAGCTTAGCTGGGTGGTTCTGACTCAGGGTCTTTCATAGGGCTGCAGATATGATGTCTACAGGGCTATAATCTCTTCTGTTGGCGCTGCTGGGGCTGGAAGATACACTTCCAAGCTCACCCACGTGGCTGTTGGCAGGCCTCAGATCCTTGCCACATGGGTCTCTCCACAAGGCTCCTCAACAAGCCAGCCGGCTTCCTCAAAGCGAGATCTGACTGATGTGAGAGCAAGTGAGTGAGAAAGTAGCCACAGTGTCTCTTACAACCTAATTGGGGAAGTGATGTGCCATCACATCTACCTCGTTCTATTGGTTACACAGACCCGCCCTGGTAGAGTGTGGAGGGGACTGCACAAGGATGTGAGTACCAGGAAGCAGGATCACTGGGGCCATCTTGGAGATGGCCCACACAGACCCACGGCTCCAGCTCCTGTAGCCTTGGCCTTTGGTCCTCCAGATAGAATTGAGTAGAGTTTCCTTGGGGTAGTGTTGCTAGTGTCAGCAAATAAAAATACATGATAAATTTTAGATAAATAATGAATAATTATTAGTACATATATATCCCAAATACTGCAGGCAATTCTTCTTTTGGGGGGGAGTAGGGGCAGAGGGAGCTTTTGGGAGAGTGACGCCGAGTTCTGGTGCTCTAACATTGTGCATGTGACCTCAGGCTGACCCCGAACCTTTATGGATGCTGATGCTTACCCTTCCACCCAGTCTTCAGCCTCTCAGAGGAACCCAGACACAGAGTGAACAAGGCAGAAAAGGCTGAGAAAGGACACTCTGGACACCCCTGTAGAAAACCTCCTTCCCTGACGTACCTAGAGAGAGGGAAATGCTCCCAGCCTCAGCCCTGGGTGGGTGGAAGAAGGGGGACTGAAGGAACTGGGAAGTGAAGGCACACATTCCTGTGTGCTCTACCCCACCCTAGGGGATGGGAGGTTGAGAAGAGGCTCTAACACCACCCAGAGTTCGTCTCTGGATGGAGGCCAGCCTCAGTGATGTCCTCCCTGACCCCTGAGTCAGCCTCCTGCCTCCCCCCAAACTGTCCTGCTTTCCCCGCCTCCAGCCGATGTCCACTCTCAGACCATCTTGGGTGGCTTCTGTCTTTATTTGCACAGTGGTACTGCTCCCTCCCTTTCTTGAGCAGCCTGAGTGGTGCAAGTCCCAGGACCAGGACCTGGCTTCCCCAGGGAGCTGCTTCTCCCTCAGGTCCCACAATTACATGGCTTCCCCCGCAGACCACCCTAGATGAAGCGCTTATCCTGCACGTCATAGGAGTAGGGGTCCCCAGGAAAAGGCTGAGGTGGAGGCTGGTTGTAGACACCCTGCAGGAAGATCCAGGCCGTGCCCACCACCATGATGGGCGTCACCACAAATAGGCAGAGGCGGTCCACTGTGCGGGCCACCCGATTCCAGCTGTCCTTCTCCTGGGGGCAGGGGCAGAGACAGTGGGGTGAGGAGGGCCCCAGGCCACACAGCCCACCCCCAAGCTGGGCCCCAGTAACAGAGGCAGAGGCATGGCTCAGTGTGTCTGTGGGGGCCCCTTAGGCTTGCAGCAGTTGGGACATACCAGCATGTCTCCAGCAAGGGCCCAGCCCTTCTGGCCACAGGCAGGGATGGTGAATATGTGTTGAGGCAGAGAGTGGCCACAGCCTCCCTGCCCACGTTACTGCAGGGATCCAGGGGGCCAGAGAGGAGCTGGGGGCCAGGGGTCTCTCTTGGGGGCTGAGGAAAGTGGACAGGTCCCTCTCCTCTCTCACCCCTCCCAGCCACTCAGGGCTACTGCTAGCCTGTGTGTGAACTGGAAAAAGATGCCCCTTTCTCAAGAGAGAATTTTGTTTTTTGAGTTGAGGTCTCATTCTATCACCTAGGCTGGAGTGCAGTGGCACTATCATGGCTCCCTGCAGTCTCAACCTCCTGGGCTCAGGCGATCCTTCTTCAGCTCCTCAAGTAGCTGGGATTACAGGTGCACATCATGACACCTGGATAGTTTTTTTGTGTAGAGATGAGGTCTTGTTATGTTTCCCAGGCTATTTTGAACTCCTGGTCTCAAGTGATCCTCCCACCTTGGCCACCCAAAGTGCTGCGATTACAGGAGAGAATTTTAAAGAGTTGTATAATATTGAATAAGCATATATGGTTACCTTTTAAATGTCTGGCTCTGTCTGATGTATTGGACTTGGAGCTGAGTGGGGACAGAAAATGATTGGCCTCAGGGAGAAAGAAGGGAACTTAAGGGATTCCCAGAGTGTGGCCAGGATAGGCTGGAGCTGTGTGTTGTGTGTGTCCTGGCCCAGGGTCCTGCTATGAGGTTCTAGGCAGGAGTTCTCCCTCTCTTGGGGACCTGGAATCTGCACCCACTGTGAACTCCCTTATCTAAATTGGTATGTGTCTCTGAGGGGAACTGTACCCTTTAACTTAATCAGTGTGCTACTTGAACACCTGTACATGGCAACCCTAGAGCCATTCACCTCGTTGTAATTGTTCTGGTCCTTCATGTGGTTAACGATGAAGTTTGCCCCATCCACAGCTGGCTTCAGCTCACTGAGGAGTTCCTGCTGGGCCTGCTCAGAGCTCACAGGGGGCCGGCCTATGGGCACAGGGCCAGAGGGAGGTATGAGGGCTGCTCCCACCCACCTCCCACAGATGAGTCAAATCCCAAAACCACGCAGGACCCACGTGCAGTGGTGAGGCGCCGGGCCAGCCCATGCCGCTCTGACTGCTTCTCGAACATGAGATCACTGCGTGACTTGAGCGAGAAGTACTCCTCAGCCTTGGAGATGTAGCCCAGGGAGCTGCTCCTCCGCACCAGAACCCCAGGGCTGGGTCCGTCCTCTGCTGGGCGGGACATGTGCAGGAGTTCAGGTAGGGTCTCCAGGAAGAGCTGTGGCAGGGCCGAGGGGATGCAAGAAAGGCCGTCTTACAAACATGGGGTGACCTTGAAATATCCTAATGTCTGTAACTCCATTCCTAGCTGCCACAAAGCACTCCCCAGCCTGACCCTGTCAGTTATTCTCCCGATCCCCTACTGATGGACATGTAGGTTGCTTCCAACTCCCCCATTACTTATTGGATGGAGAACCCTATTCATTGGAAGTGAATATTAAGAACAAAAAAGCAAGATACATGCCCCAAATGCTGAGTTCTCCCCTCTCAAATGCTGAATGACAAAAGGAGTTGCTAACTACTTTCAGTCCCAGAGCAGCCAGCTGGCCCTGCAGTGCGAGCAGCACAGGCAGCCCCTTCCTGAGCACCCAGCCCTTAGTCCTCACCTACTCCCTCTTCACTGAGTTGTAACATGCAGTGGCATGACCATCTTGAGCACAGAGCTAGGTGAACTTTCACAGATCCACTCAACTGGGTCATCACCTCCCAGGATGAGATAGCAAACATTATCCCGGAAAGATTCCCTTGTGCCTCCCCCCTCAGTTCCTCCCCATGCCCAGATGGAGCCACCATCCTGACTTCTGTCACCAAAGATTGACTCGTCTACTCTTATGCTTTCTAAAAAGCAAACCCTGCACCATGTGCTCTTGTGTCTGGCTTCTTTCATGCACATAGTACAGGGGTTCTCCATGCTGGGGGTACAGTGCAGCTGGTGCTTTGCACTGCTGAGGGGCACCCGCCATGCGTTGCCCAGTACCCTCGCCTGCATGCAGATGGCCTTTGGACAATTTCCAGCTGTCAGCTATTGAGAGCGCTCACCTTCTTGACTCCCTTGGATAGCACGTGGGTGCTGGGTGTTCGGAAGTGGATGTTGAGCACGATGACACAGATCACCACGACCACGGCAACCAGCACCATGCCAAAGAGCAGGAACCTGTGGGCACACACTTAGCCTGGAGCCCACAGGGCTGGGCCAGCAAGCAGGGTGGGGCCAGGTGTGGGCATCACTCACTTGCCAAAGAGGGGGATGGCCTTGGACGTGGCAGGCAGCCGCTTGGAGATAAGCAGCAGGAAGACAGATTGGGCCAGAAGCACCGAGATGGCCACTGATGTCTTCTCTCCGCCTGGGGAAGAAGTTGTGATCTTGGGCCCCGGGCCCAAAGGGTCCCACAGCAGCCCTTGACACCACTGTTCACAATGCCCTGGTGCCCTGATGAAAATAAAATCATGGGCTATGGGACTAGGGTGACTGGGTGCAAATTCCAGCTCTGTCACTTATAGCTGGATGATCTCGGGCAAGTAGCGTAACCTCTCTGTGCCTGTTTTCTCAACTGTTAAATGTGGTGAGAGAATGTATGTTAAACACATGTCATTCTGCCTGGCACTGGGTAAGTGCTCAGTGAACACCCACTGTCCCCACTTGCCTACCCTTGCCACTTAACCCTCCTGAAGCACAGATCTGTGTGTGTCACTTCCTGCTCAGAAAACACCAGGGTATCCTCAGCATCAGGATAACGTGCCAATTCCCAGCCCTGCTTCACTCAGAGACCCCAGCCCAGCACTGCCCTGCTCACACCTGAGCCCCTGGGATGGTGGGAGAAGGAACCTCCCCTACTGTGGCCACACCCTCATCTGCACTGCTCTTCCTACCTGGTATAGGTGCCAGGTCCTGCCTGGGATAGCCCCACTCAGTCTGGCTTAAATCCACTCAAGCTCTGCCTCCTCCAGGAAGCCCTCCCCCAACCCCACTGCAGTTAGAACCTCTCCCCCAGAGTCCTGTGGTTTCTACCCTGCCTGCCAGGTTTAGAGGCTGGGTAGCCTTTGTCCCTGGGACTCACTGTGCCCTGTGCATAGTCAATAATCTGAGATAGTAAAATCATTGCCTCCTGGAACCGCAGGAGCATGGATGGATCTTCTGCCCCATGCCACAGTGTCCTAGAGACGTCGTTATCTACCACTGAGGGCTTCATGTGTACCAGACCCACCATCACACAGTGGGGACCACAACAGGCCTGGTTCCTTCCCTGACAGTCTAGCCATTCTTCCTAGGGTCCTCGGGAAGCCCATCATGAGAGGCAGAAGCCACATCCGGGAGGGACCCTGCCTTGTCCATTTGGGAATGTCGGACAGTCATATTGACCTCCTCATGGCTGGGCACCTGGCCCTCGGGCTTGGACCCCGGGCAAGGAGATCTGGGAGTGGTGCCCCCAAGGTGGCTCTCAGGAAGAAGTGAGGGGCGGGGCTATGGCAGCCTCAGGGGAAGAGGAAAGGCTGCGGGGGAGCGGGGGAGTGGTGCTGGGAGTCGGGGATGAGGCGCTGAGGCTCACTGTCGGCTGGCAGGTAGAACACCAAGTTGACCATGAAGGAGATGAGCACGCAGGGCACCAGGATGTTGATGACGTAGAAGAGGGGCTTGCGGCGGATGATGAGGTAGAAGGTCACGTCCTGGCGGCTGCGGCTGTCCAGGGGGGCACTAGGGTCCATGTTGACCCTGGCTGGCCGGTGCACTATCTCCCACTCCCCGTTCTCTGAGGGCGGCACATGGACACCTTGGGGTCAGACTGGGTCGGAAGGCTCAGGGGTCCTTGGGACAGGATGAGGGGCTGGGATGGGGCCCGGCCTGTCTCGGGGCCCTAAAGAAGGTGGGGAGGACAGAGGGGGCTCAGGCTCTGTTGGTGGGTGTCTTTCCCTGGGGGCTGGGATGAAGGTTTCCATCTGTGACCAGGAAGTTTTCCTCTGTAACTGATTTATTTTTCTCTCCTTGGAAAAAATAGAAGCTGAGGACATACAGGGTTCAAATCAGGAGTAGGTTTTGGCTCAAAAGATATTATGAGCCAAAAATGGATATTACGGATTAAAGAGACTGAATCAAAAGAAATGTTCTGTTATTGAGCTTGTCTTCCTGAGCAAAAGAGAAAAGAGAAGTTGACCTTAATTGAGCCACTTGTCTTGGGGATAGCAAGATGATGATAACTGTTCCCCCCATGTACCAGTCTGGAGACCACCGGGGCGGGGGTCCCTTCTGATGGACAGGGGTGAGCAGTGGGCCCCAAGAAACATCTGAGCCTGGGCACAGATAGGAGATAGGGGCACTGGGAGAGGCAACATACCTTCCATGGGGATGACTCAGCCCACATGCCAACTGGGTGGTTGGCACAGGAAAGACTAACCCACAACCCACCCCGGTCAGCCTCTGCATCCCCAGTCAGAAGAGTCTGAGTGGGGTGCAAGGTGGGGCCCTGGCACCCTGCCTCTCTCTGCCTCTGGGATGTCTTTGCATGTGTTCCTCTGTGGGTGGGGATGTCTGTGAGCCCCTGTGTGTTAGGGTCCTAGGTATCTGGGAGTGTGCATCCCTGGGGTGATGGTGTCAGTGTGGCTGTTTGTGTGTGTCTGGGATGTGTGCCTGAGGGGCCCGTCTACCCCTCAGCAGCCTCTGAGCACCTGTGAAGCCCTCCGGGTCAATGATGATCCACTCCACAGGGTAGGTACGGTTGTCTTCAGTGTCCTTCTTCAGGCTCAGGGTGACCTCCTTGGCCGTGTACTTGAGGGAACTGGGGAGGGCAGAGGCAGAAGGGGGCCCTCAGCCTCCAGCTGGGGCCACAGCTGGGGGAAGGGCTAGTAAGAGAGGGGCATTGTGGGGAGGGGAACTCCAATCAGGACAGGGCAGGGGCCTCCGCCTGAGGGCGCTTCATTCACCTTCAACCCCTGGCAGGGTGCTGTGGGGTGAGGGGTGGCTGGAGAAGTAGGGGGCACCTGAACTTGAGGGAGCAGTTCTGCCAGTCGAAGGGGAAATAGGTGACGGAGATGGGGCAGGAAGAGCGGAAGATGGCAGGCGGCAGCCAGTACATTCCTCCTGAGGCGTAGACGAGCACGTTGCAGGCATAGGATATCTGGAAGGAGCCGTCATTGCTGGGGACAGGGACAAGGACCAGAGTGAGCACCTGCCAGCTCAGAGCTGGCAGGAATGAAGGAGGCAGAGAAGGAAGGGCACGCAGGAGCAGGGGCTTGGGGCTGGAGGGGGAGACTGAGGGCACGAAGAAAGGGAGGTAGAGTGATGGAGGGGAGGTCAAAGAGGCTGCTGCTCAACTTGTTCTCCAGCACAATCTCTGGGAGCCACACCATGTCAGGGGGCAGGCGCAGGATACTGATGTTCCCAAAATCTTCAGCATTCCACTTCAGTCGGCTATCTGTCCAGCCCTGGAAGCCCAAAAGAAAGGCATGTCTGCAGTGAGCTCTGTGGCTGTCCAGGCTCCCCACTCCCTTGACGTCCCTGGGGAAGACTGGACAGGGTCTGGGAGCTGTGATAAAAGAGGATTGGGGGAGGCAAGTACAGAGTGGGGATTCAGATCTGTCGTGGACAGCTGTGTAGGATGCTCACTGCACAACTAAGAGACCATTATTTCCATGGTGGGCATAGGTATTGTTATGAACTTCTGACAGCTGACAAAAGAGTGTCATCTAATAAAAATCAGGACACAGTGACAATTTTTCCACAGATGGATCCTAATCCACGTGACAGTGCCATCAGGGCTTTTGAGGGCCCTAGATGGAGAGAAGGGCAGTTGGGCCTGGGGCTTCCCTGTAGGGAGGAACCAACCCCTCTTGGAGGGCAGTGTCCAAGGCAGAGCCAGATCCCCGAGCAGAAGTCAGCACTGGGAAGCCTGGGCCCTGACCCCAGCCTGGCTCAGAGTGGGGCATTCTCCTTACATGCTCTATCCACACGTTGGTAGTCAGGGTCTCCTCGACTTCTTTCTGCAATCAGACAGAGGTCTGTCCTTCAGGGCCTGTATCACCCACACACATTCACCAGGCGCTTCCTCCTGGCTGACACCCAGGGGAAAACCATGCCAACTGGGCCGATCGGCCTCCTGCCCCGAGTCCTCAGTCAGGAGCGGTCGGGGGGGGGGGGGGGGGGGGGGG